ACTGCTGTTTAACTGGATTCGAACCCATTTCTTTGAGTTGTAATGCTCCTAATTTCTTCTGCTTTAAACACTGATCCCATTTTTCTTAAATAATAACTTTGCTTGCATTTAAACAAAACTAGATGACATTCTAGATGGAATCATGTCGCTTAAAACTGCGTCCCATGCGACACATCCACAATCATCAAAATTTCACTTTCTTGCCAAGAATTAAAGTATTAAGAAAGATGTAACGAAAGTATCTTGATGAAGGTTTATGACATTCCACACAAAAAAATAAATAAAATTGGGGTTCAACGCACATTCTTCCCTCCGCACACACCACGAAAAAAAAAGGGGAAAGTAATTTTCATTCTAGACGTAAACACAAATATCGACTGCACATTGGGGTTGGTAAAACTGTTTATTCGGCCAAAGACCCCTTCTGTTCTTATTTTATGAAAGTATTTTTACAATAAATAAATGACTGTATGAAAGAATGAGGGCACTTGCCATCATAAAAAAATATTAGGGACATCAAAACTATGTTACATTCAAGTTCTGGATAAATTATTCATTCTTTACATAATTTCACTTGACGCGAGCAGCCCTTACTTTATTGAAGAGGGAGCTGGAAATTTGAGAATGTGTGTCGAAAATTTACAGCAAGGAGAACCAGAGAGACAGCATAAAATGCATGGGGGTTGGATATAAATGGCAACAATTTCGGAAATTAAATTTTTTTTAAAAAAAATTCCTTTTGCTGTCTCACGTGACGGGAATATTGTGATGGTGTTAGATTAATTTCAATTTTCTTCAGGAAAATCTTTTTTGTAGTTTTTGTTGAAAAAGTTTTTTTTCTTATTTTTCAAGGACAATAAATTCTTTTTCTTTCTGACAAATCCTACTTTATTTTATTGGATTTGTGCTTTAGTTTTTCTTTAAATCCTTATTTATTACCTAAATTCTTTCTTCTTTTCTACTTCTTTCCAACTTGCTTTTTATGATTAGATTTTACTATTATTGGTTTAATTTTGTCTGATTATTGTGTAAGTTAAAGTCGTTGCGCAAACCTATTTAAATCGCTAAACAAGTTCTGATTTTAGGTAATATTTCTTACTTAAGTGCTTCCAGAACAAAGCAAGTTGCAATTTTATCTTCCTTTATATAAGCAATGGGATCTTGTTCCGTCATGGCATCTCAGAAGTTTCTATTCCAACAAAATCATCAATTACCCTCCAGCAACAATTAGCACATCTACTCAACCGATGCGCTTCATTCAAACAAAAAAAAAATCCAAACTTTTCAATTAACTTTTAAATCCCATCCGACAAACTCAGATTTCATCGTTCCTTAATGATTGGATTGTAAACTTTTTTTTCTATCCATTCATCCATACACAAAACAGCATTAAAAAGTAATTCCAAAGTCATAAATTTTAATTAAAAATAGAACTTGATGAATCCAAGAATTTTTCTTATTCTTATTCTTGTTGCTTCTTTGTTGTGATGTTGACTGGATGGAGAAAGATTCTTATTTCACCAACTTACTTTTTTAATTGCAGTTCCACACCGGCACCATGAAGCTAATAAGAGGGAAAAAAAGTTTTTTTTTGTCTGCAGCACAAACAGTGTCGTGATTAAAAACGTGGCAAAACTTTTTTCTTGTCTCAAGTTTTGAACTTCGCAGTTAATAGCTTTTAGGGATGCATAAATAATCCGATTTCAATAAATTTTGTTTACAATAAATTCAATGCGCATTATTAAAAATTCTCGAAGGTTGAAATTTGTTGTTGAATAGACTTCTGCTATGCTGTAATATTACGCATTATTCTGACCTGAATTACATGTTTTTTGTCAATATGAAAGTCAAATCTGAAATAATCTTTATGTAATAATAGAAAGGTCTGTAATACAGTATTATAAAATTCATATGCATCACCTGTGAACTTTTTTTATTATTTTTATGAAGGATAGGCAAGATTGGAATGGGAAGTATCTTGGAGATGATGAAGCTTGCCAAGGAAACAAAGCGCAATTTGAATATTGAGGAACAAATCTGTCAAAAATGAAAATCTAGAGTTTTTGTGGGAAAAATTGAAATATCAACTTATTTCATCCATTTAAATAAATTTCGTAGACTTAGTCTTAACCTTGGTTTATTTCCATAAAAAAAAAAAAATAAGATTTAATCGATTTAATCCATAAATCCAAAAATTTCTATCACATCTCACCAAAAAAAAGCAGTTAAATTATGAATTTCACATCCATCACATCACTTATAGACATCCACTGAAACCTTTTCAACTAAAGAATGGCTTTTGAATAAGAAAACTTTATAGCACCTGCCAGAAAAAAACAAATTGCTGCTCATTAAAGCGATTTAAAAGGAAAACTTCTTCAACCTCCACCAGCCATAAAAATTTCCATAAGAAAATATTTTCGACATTAATCCTACATCCATCTGTTCCACACACGTGTGTAACAGCAATCAATATAATGAAATGTGCATTTTAACCATCGCCCCACTTGGTAATTTTTCAACTCTAAGAGCTCTTAAAGTATCATCAAATTATGGGCCCTGTGAGGGGATATATATGCATGAGTCAATGCTTACACATGCTGAATTTATTTTTATTATTCTTCGAATGACTTTTTCGCACAAACATACACGTGTCGAAGCAGAAAGAGAATGGAAGGAAAATAAGTGCGAAGAGATGGAAATGAAATTTATTTTGGTGATTTTAATTCACAACAGATTCATGGAAAATATTCAATAGAACAATTATTTGGGATAGTTGAGCAGATTTGAGTAGTTTTGTGGCACAGATTGGGAGTTATGGTATTGTTCTATGCATCTGATTGGGACAACTCATATGGTGTCACTAGGGTACGGTTTCAGAGCCAAGGAGCAATCGACAGAAGCTATTGATGTCATTTGAGGATAGATTGCTTTATGGTCATAGCCTGTGGTTGGCAAAGAGCTTATAAAATCAGTTGAAACTTTAAAGATTTGAATTTGAATTTTTAAACATTTCGGGCAGTAAAATTTAAATTCAGGAAAAACGTTATTTGATCATAATTTGTTTTGTTGTTTTTAAGTCATTTTGCTATTAAATAATGTAGAACTTAGTTTATTTCATAGCCTTTTTGGGTCAGTAAACATTTTGATATTCAAAAAATTAGCATTAAGTAGCTTAATTCACAAGACTTTGAGATTTCTCAAATAATTTTTTCCTTCGTCATGTTTGTTTACATTTTGACGAAAAATATTTGAAAAAGAAAACGCGAAATTTAAACAAAACCAGATGAAATATTGAATCCATAAATAGTTTAAAACAAAGAATGTGTATCTATTTTATGTTTAAAAAAGTAATCTGTAAGAAAACACAAGGATTTTGGCTGAAAATTGACAAAATTTTCTGATTGGCTAAAATTCATAACGGATTAAGTTCTAAAAATAAGGACTACTAAAAAAGTACTAAATCTAATTGTTCTAAAAATAAGATCCGTTTGCCTACCACAGGTCATAGCTTAGTCTTCCAGATATAGGCTCTAATGCTTTAAATATCCCTCAAACCCTTAAATATCATGTCCTCAGTTTAATCAAAGGAACTTTCAATCAACAGCGCGTCATCCACAACTAAACCAACCATAAAATCAACTCAACACCCTCTCCAACTACTCTTATCTACATCTCCAAGTATGAGCATTCATAGAAAATAATAAGAAAGCCTCTATCATCATAAATTAATTATTGATTAAGGATCATTATGGATTACAAAATTTATTGTACGGAAATGAGAAGCTCAAAAAACAGGGGAGAATAAGAATGCTGAATTAATGAATGGGATTACTTTAACTTCCACTCGTAGCACTATTGTCGAGTACACCTGCTCCACTGAGTTATTGCTTTTGTGTTTAATTGCAATAAATAGGAAGTTAGAAAGTCATTAGACTGTGAAAGGATTTTGCTTTGTTGAATGGAAATTAAATAGAAGTTTCCTCTGTTGATTATTGTCCATTAACTGTTGAATATATATGGCTATCATGAAAATGGAAAGTTTGAAGGAGTTAAGACAAAAAAAAATCGATAAAAAGTTTTGTGAAATGGAAAATTTTGAAGAATAAAATGAAAGTTGCTTACTGGAACAATGTAAGGTCATTAAACTAGCTGATGTGTGACAGATAGGTTTAATGGTGAACAGCTTCAGATTTTTACAGCAGTTCTGGATTTGAACCTCAGCAGGCATATCCAGTTGTGCTTGAATCAAATGTATTAACGACAATCTAAAATGCAGACTAAAAGACAGCATCAACAATTACAGTCCATGACTTGCTCAAAAATATCAAAGCAACATCAAAGCATCCTCATCCTCTCTTCTTTACCTTGAAACTTGATACATCTTGCAAGCTATAAATTACTCAACATCTTGTAGGTGATGAGAAAATGTGTAAAATTCAATTTTCAATTCCATCATGAATCTGCAAAATGAGTAAAGTTCATCGAGTCTCTCTCTCGAGAAATCAAAGGAAGGAGAAGTATAATTTATGAAGCATCAGATGAATTTGCATCATGAAGGAAATGAGGTCAAGCGAAGAGAATTTTATTTCTTCTTAATTTATCATTTGAATTGCAAACTTTGTGAGATGCAGCAAGCGGAAAATACAGTGTCCTTTATATAGGAAGTAAATGAAGTGTTTTGATTAAATGAATAATTTTTGTTAAATGTTGAATTAATGAATGCATATGAAGTAAATTAAAATTAATGTAAATGTCTGTTGGCTTTGCTTGAAATAAGGACGCAATAACTCTGTTTTGAGATGTATGGTCACCAAGAGCTATGGAAGCAGTTGATCATACAATAAGACGGTCAAACTACTTATCATGTTGAAGTTAAAGACCCATCAAAGCCCTTCGATGGACAAATTTCTTCAATTCGCTACAGTTTTCAACAAAAAGACCTTCTTAAAAGCACTGCTTATTTCTATGACCTTTCCAGTAGTAAAACTCATACGATTTTGGCTGTTCATAATTTTATTTTTGAGTATCTTTGTTGGTTGAAACTTTTAATCCCATTACTTTGTACATTTTTGATCGATTATTTGTAAAATAAAACTGCGGTGAAATTTCTGCAAGTTCATCATAGCTAAAAAGAATCAAAAGTTAAACAAATTCTCTAATTTTCCATCACAATTACTTACCTTTTCACATACAACTCCTCATATCCAGCATTTTTAGCAGCCGTTTGTGATCCAATTCCAGTAAACGAAGTGACAGTCACAGAAAGTCCAATATATTGCATTAATGGGACTTTTGCGTGTAGAAGGTGCTTTGCTAATCCACAACCCCTGTACGATCTGTCAACAACAAGTCCAAAAGCTGATAGATAACGATCGACATTGTATTTGTTGTAAATATCAGCTAGCTTTGTTGTGTATTCAATTAATGCACAAATTTGTAAAACATTTTCGTCTTCAATCTGCGATAAATTTATTGAGTTTATGTCCAAAATTTATCCGCAAATTTACTCACCGTGTCATCCTCTGGATCATCCATAGTATGAACTTCAAGGACATTCATTCCAACAAGTTCATCACTTCCATCATTCCTATAACATCCAAGTGACACTCGTTGTTGAAGTGCTCTCATCCAAGTGACACGCAATGTCTTGACACTTTCCGGATTGCTTAAGATTTTGTCACTCAGAGGCTCATCCGGCAGAAAAACATTTGCCATCATGTCCACAGCCTCTTCGTATCTGTCTTCTGGAATGTCTTGAATGCGATATTCTGTCATCACATTACTGCCTCTATCTTTTGCAGTAAATATGCAGTAAACGTGAGGAAATTCAAGATTGACTGGTCTCTTGAACATAATTATTATTTTTTTAAATGAAAAGTTTGTGCGAGGAATTGAATTTTAAAGTCTAATCTAAAGCAATTTTTAATCAAAACTGACTTACACGAACATTGAGCAGCATTTGAAATTGACTAAAAAGTCGCCTTATCGCTACTGATTTAATTGATATTGTTATCAATGCTGAATGTATTATAATACATTTTGGTAGATTTTTTATTTGACTTGCTTGCAACTGCTTTAAAACATTTATAAAATTTAATAATTCAAAGTAGCGAAATGTGTACACGTGCATGTCCTAGAGTATATAATTGCAATTCACTCAGTTATAATATGTGTGTCGTGAATCACCAAGACTGAGTTGTGCGGCTAAAAAAGTAAAAAAGCACCCAAACACCTCAAAACATCTTTGGAATCGACTTCGTTATTGGAAAATAAATCTAGAATTTTTTTCCAAAAAGAAGCTATCCTCCTTGATTCAAATTTGCACAACAAAATAACTCAATTGCATTTTAGTCTAATCAAATAAAAACTTATCTTTTATACGTGCCTAATAATTACCGAAGACCATGAAAAGGCTGAGTCATTACTGATAACACTTAAATTAAAGTGACAACAAATCATAAAAAGCTTAACGACTGTTAAGTTTGATATTCGATAGCAATTTCTTGGAATTAATCGAATTAATCATTTTGTAAATAACTTCAAATGATTTTCGTCAATCGCATTCAATGCCTCTTGTGCTTATCTAGCTGCTCTTTTAATAGCCTTTGCTGTGCGCCAATTATAAGTCCTGCATTTCCATCTACTTTTCGTCATCCATGACTTTAGTGGGATAGTCATCTCAATTTCTGCTGAAAGTCATTGATTAATCAGCAGTCAAAGTATCAAAAATGACCAAATTTTCAAGAAAATTAATAAGCATATAAAAATCTTAAATGACACGTTTTAAGACCTTTTACTTAATAATTTTTAATGCCATCAACTTTCTCATCATCAAACTTTCCTTCATTAATCAATCTGTGATATTGAAACATTTCGCATCTGATACTGAAAGCAGAAAGATAAAGTCTGTAGAACTTAAATATTAAATGAGTTAATAATCGTAAAACAGTTTGAATTTTTTTTTATGGAACTGATGTGAAAAGTTTTTCTATGTTTTCTTCAAGGCAAAATGATTCATCGATTGACGTTTTAAAAGTTCATTAGTTTATGAATGCTGAAAAGTCGTAAATTATGAAATGAATTTAGCAAAGTCGATAAAATTTCTTGGAAGTTTTTCGACGGGAAATTATTGACTTATGGAAGCATTTGGTTCGGGTTAGTGCTTTTGAAAATCGATGAAAAAAAAGCATCAGGAGATAATTGATCCATTAATTTTCCTAGACGGTATTCAAAAGCTCTCATAACTTTTGGAAAGAAAGTTTGAAATGTTTTTGCTTTTTATGCAAAAAGTTTAAGTCGCGATCTTCAATTCAAATGACTTCAAATCATCTGGAAATGACTTCATTAATTCCTCAACAATCTGTGACTTGAGACTTGACTTTTTTGTGTTCCTTTCTGTCGACATTTTTCTTCTCAAAAGTCTTCCATTTTTTCTTACAATAGCTTTAGTCTTTACTGTTCGAATGACGACTTTTATTGGATGACTGACAATTTGTGGACTTCTATTAAGAATTTTGCCTAGTCATTGACGAAACATTTGATCATAAATTCTCGAAAATTTAATCAAATTTTCATTGATGTTCACTTTCGACTGAAATTTTCTCAGTTTCATTTCGATCGTCGAGCAGACAAGACCAAATTTTCAAAGTCTTAAATTGCAATCATCAAAAAATGTTTCGTCAATCATCAAAAATTCTCCGTCAGTCGTTAAGCATCTCAAGAATTGGACAAAGACGATTCGAGAGCAACGACTCAAAAGATTCAATGTGCAAACATCATCAAGATCTTGTGCCGCCATTTTCTGAAGTTGGAAAATTAAAGTCATTTGAATTGAAATCAGATTGCACGACATTCCACATGAAATCGAGTGGATACAACCCTTGCTGCCCACCATGTCCAACACCTAGCACACCTTGTCCACCACCCAAGAAGCCTTGTCCATGTCCTGAAGAAAATCCATACGCTGATTAAATTTATTCTTTGAAGGATGTTGAATTAAACTTATATTTTTCAAATTAAATTGCTTGTTGTTCCTTAATTGATTTACTTTTCAGGATTGTGACATAACTTTAGCAGAATTACGGTAAAATCTTAGAGATTCATAAGAATTCAATGGTTGATTTCATGGAAGCAAACCTTTGATATTGACATAAAATGATCAGAAAGAACTCGGAAGGTAAATGATAAGCAGACTAACTGCGCAAAAGTATCGATCTTGAAAACTTCAAGTACAAAATATCACATATTTAAAATTAGAAACCCAATTGTGTAAATGTTTTCAAAGTCTGTTGTCTCTTTCATCAAAACAATAGTTTTATTCAGTTCCTGCTAGTGCCACATCAGTTTTCTCCTGAATTTCATTGAGAAAAGTCTTAAGCTTATTATTAGTCATGAAATTGACACTATTAATTTGTATAATTTTGCCATTATCAGTTTTTGGGCAGTTAAAGCCACTTCCTCCTGTCTCTGCTGAGGATAACCAAAGAATTATTCCTAAATCGTAATAATTTAATTTTCTTGTCTAAAGATCTAGAAATAATCTTAATTTCATAAATGCTTACCTTGGACAGGATCTTCACAGTCGTAGCTCCTGGCACCATTCGCAAAGCGGTACCATACAATATCTTCATTAGAGGAATCGATATTCAAGAGGCAATAATTCTGAACATTAAAATTAATGGAAAAAGTGAGTCAGGAACATTTGTTAATATTGTAAAGTCAGCAACAATTTCGAGTGATAAAGCAGATTTGTTGATTGATTTTGATGTAAGTTATGCATGATTTGTACCAAAAAGAACCTCAAACTCACCAATATTCTGATAAAAATTAAACTTCTTTAGACATCAGCAATCACCAAAGGCGCATACATACTTTTTGTTGAAGGCAAAGGGTTTGCAGAAAAGAGAAGCTTGACTTACATTACAAAGGAATATTCATTCCTTCTTCAACTAAGCAAAGCTATTTTCTTACCTGGCGATCTTCTTCAATTCCGAGCTTTTGCTGTCGATTCCGAGACAAGAGCTGTAGCACCAAAATGCTCGAGTGTCGTTACAATTTCTGATGCAAATGGCAACGCCATCGTGTCATTTAAAAATATTGCGTTTGATAATGGTAAATATGAGAATCAACTTGAATTGTCTAGTAAAGCTGGTTTAGGAATTTGGAAGTTGAAAATTCAATGTGATGATGAGGTAAGACTATGAATGCATTCACTTTTAGGTCTGTAAAGGAATCGAATGTTTTCCGCAGGTTGTATTCAAAGAATTCGAAGTAGCTGAATATGCACTTCCACTGGTCGAAGGATCATTGGTGATTCCTGAAAATATTCCATTCAAATTTGGAAAAGTTCCAATCACAGTTGAAGTCTCGTACACATTTGGTGGTGATCCATCAGGAACTGCAACTGTAATTATCCAAAGAAATAGTCAAATCACCTTAAAAAGGGTTGTTGTTGTTAACTCCGGTGTCGCAACTTTTGATGTTAATATTGTAGAAGATCTCAAAGTCAATCAAATGGACTATGCAGCCTTTCAAGCAAATCTAGTCTTTGAAGATCCATTGACTGGCGACACAATAACAGATGAGAAACATTTTGTGATCAGACCTTATGCATTCTACACATATCCAAAAGGTGATTCCAACATAAAACCAGGAACGCCTTACAAGTTTACAATTGCTTTGAAAAGATATGATGGCTCACCAGCCTCAGCAGGTGTTCAGATTCAAGTTATTCCACAAAGTCCTAGTACACTTCCATCACAAACTTTAGCTATTGGTGCTGATGGAAGTGTTTCATCCTCATTTGATATTCCAGCTTATACTCAACTTTTGTCATTGAAAATTCAAGCTGATGACACTGCTGACAACTCTCTTATTGCTAGTGTCGAGCAAAAAATCAGTGACAATTACTTACAAATTGAGGTTTTGACTGAAGCGTAAGTTTAATAAAGTTTTATTCTAGTTCCAATTCTGTTTTTAAAGGAATTTTAAATTCATAAAATACAAATTTCTCTTTGTCCTTTCAGCCCTGAACTTGGAGAACCTGTCTACTTGAAAATCAAATCTGGGCAATCAGTTGAATATGTCATGATCCACATCGTCTCAAAAGGAGTTTTAGTCGAGACATCAAAAGTTTCCTTCGATAGTGACGAAAATGAAGATAATGATCCAAATACTGTTGTATACAGCTTTACTCCATCATTCAGTCATGCACCAAAAGCTTCAATTCTAGCTTACTACATCAATAAAAATGGAGATTTTGTGACCACTCAGTTCAATCTTCTTTTGGAAAGAAATCTTCCTAACTATGTAAGGTTATCTAGGGTTTGATTTGGATGATCTTGAACTTATTTGTTTTATTTATAGCTGAAAATTTCACCTGCAACTCTACAAGTTAGGCCAGCAGTAAATATAAATCTGAACATTGAAAGCTACATTGGATCGACAGTTTCATTAGTTGCTATGGACCAAAGGTGATAAATTAAGGCATAAAGATTAATTTTTACAGAATTTACATTGAATTCCTTAGATTATTGCTGTTAAGAGACGGCAGCAACATTACAAAGCAGAACATTATAGATGATATACAAAAGTATGCAAGGAATATCATCCAACTTAACTGGGGTAACATAGCTGGTTATGAATACAACTTTGGAGTAAGCTTAAATTAAATTTTGGATGAATGATTCTCAAATTGTACTTAAATCTTTAGGCTATGGGACTGTTTGTCTTCACAAATATTCCCAGACCATCAGCAAGATCCATAAACAGGCCAGAAGTAAATCTTGTTCAAAAATTCTCTAACCTTCCAACAGAAAAGAAGACAAAGGAAATTAAAATTCGAGAAGACTTTAGAGAAACATTCTTGTGGCGCGATGTTTCTATCTCAAAGTAAGTTTGTACCTTGGTTGGTCACATGGATTTCAAATTAAATCTTTTACAGTTCCGCTAATGATTATGATGATGATACAAAAGGTCTTGAAGTTATTTCCGAGAAAGTTCCTCAATCAATCACAACTTACTTAATCTACGGAGTTGCAATGAGCACACAGAATGGAATGGGATTGTCTGACAATGTTCCATCGGTGACAATTTTTTTGCCATTCTTTCTTTCCGTTGAACTTCCATATTCTGTAAAAAGAAATGAAGTTCTTGTTCAGGATATTATTGTGTTCAACTATTTGAAAAAAGTTCAGGCTGTAGATATAAGAATTACTAAACAATTGGGTTATGAAGCTGTTGATCTTGACAAATATGGATGGAAAGGTAAGCAACTCATCCATACAAATTCTTTTATGACCTTTTGTTTTACTTACAGATATCAACGGATTTTACATCAAAACTGTCACAACTAAAGTTGCTTTAAACATAAAGCTAGAATTTGCAATGAGACCGAAAACTCTCGGTTTTATTCCTTTCGAAGTAACTGCTAAAGGACCATTGGCTGGTGATGGAATTAAGAAACAGTTAAGAGTTATTCCTGAAGGAATATCTCGATCAATTACATCTTCAGTCTTTCTTGCACTCGATTCTAGAACTTCAACAATTCAATCGCAATTGAGTTGCAATTTTCCAGATTCTGCATACCAAGATACAAGTTCTATATCTGCAACTGTCGTTGGAGATACTTTTGGAAAAGCACTGAGCAATCTCGATAAATTGATTAATATGCCAGGTGGATGTGGTGAACAGACAATGCTTAGTCTTGCACCTGATATAGCCATTTATGACTATCTCTCTGTATCTGGAAAGCTTACTACAGCATTAAAAGAAACACTTCAGAAATATATCCTAGCTGGATATCAAAATGAATTAAGATATCAAAGAACTGATGGAAGTTTCTCAGCTTTTGGAAACAAAGATAAATCTGGATCCACATGGTTGACTGCTTATGTTGTTGAATACTTCTATTTTGCTAAAGATATAATCAGCATTGATTCTAATACTATTAAGAGAGGTGCTGATTTCGTCCAACAGCAACAATCTATTGATGGATCATTTAAAGAACCTGGAAAAGTTATTCATGCTGACATGCAAGGCGGAAGTGGAGCAGGAATTGGATTGACAGCTTATTGTGTAATCATGTTCACAATTATCTTACCAAGACATCCGGAATATACAGCTACAAGAGATAAAGCCGTAAATTATTTGGAAGACAATTTCAGCACCAACAGTACTGTCTATGAATTAGGCATCATAGCAAATGCTCTGATATTTGCTAAAAGTAGTAAAGCAGACACTGCCTACAGTTTATTTGATAGTAAAAAGACTGAAACAACTTCAGTGTTATATTGGGTACTACCAGGACCTCCTTCTCCTAGATATCAGCCAAGATCACTTGATATTGAAGTTACTGCATATGGACTACTTGCAAATATCAAAAGAAGCGGAGAATATGCTACCATTCTCAAGATTGTTAAGTATCTTGTCAGTAAGTCTAATAATCTTGGTGGCTACAGTTCATCACAAGACACTGTCATGGCATTATATGCATTAAGCCAAGTTGGTAAAGCTTACTCAATAAATGCAAATGTTAAGCTTACTTTAGCACCTGATGTTGGTTCTTCTATTTCAACTAATATTGAATTTACAAATTTGCTTGCTGTGCAATCTTTCGAGTTAAATTCAGCTGCCAGAAAAATTGACATTACAGCCACAACATCTGATTCTGGCCTTGCTATTGTCAGTCTTATATGCAATTTTTATGAAGACCCAAATAAAGTTATTCCAGTCTTTAATGTGACTTATAATTTAAACTTATCGTCTACGCATAAAATGACAATGAATGTTTGTGCTAATTACATTCCTAAAGGTACTTCAAACATGGCTATAATGATTGTAAGATTGCCATCGGGGTATATTTACAACGATTGCAATTGTCATAAAAATACGGAAGTTAGCAAGACTGAAGTAACAAATCAAGGATCGAAAGTCACATTCTACTTCAACAGCATCACAAACATTAACAGTTGTGTCTTCGTTAATGCTTATAGAGTCAAATTTGTTGCTGAATTGAAACCTGCAACTATTGAAGTTTATGATTATTATGACACATGTAAGGAAATTAAGGCATGATTAATTTCATTGATTTTAATTCCTTTATTTGCAGCTAAACAAGGAATGACTTCTTATCAAGTTCCCGTTTGAATGCACAATGGATGTGGAATCTGGTTTTTTATTAATTTTGCTATTCGTTATTTTTTGTCAGTTCATGTCAAATTTTATACCTTTTTTTAATAAATGATTATTCTTGAGTGTCTAGAATAGACTTGGCTGTCTTTATTGACATAGTTTTATCTGCAGAATTGCTAGTTGACATCCTTAAAGTCCTTGAACTGTGTTTTGTCTCAGAAAGAAGATCATATTATTGATCACGAACCTTCCACGAGATATTTTATCAATTTCAGCTGTTTATTAAGCATTTGATGACTCAAACCACATTTGTCTGTATTATTTTAATATCAATTGAATAAATAATAATTTTAATGTAAGTATCAATTTTTATGAGACTTAAATTATTATTCGAATGGGACTAACTCAATGAAAAATTTAGTATGGAAGCTTAGAAATGAGGATCGTGCTTGTTTGAAAGCTTTTAAGATGTATTATAATTATTCAGTTTACATTGAATCTATTTAAAATTATTTAAGGTCAAATAAGCAAGTGTGAATTTAGAATTTTATAAAGAAAATTTTTAATTATGAATTTTAGGCTCTCAACTCCAGAAATATATTTTTTAATGATAAAAACTCAAACTCAGCAATATCGAACAACCTATTATTCATTCCTTATTTTTCAAAAACTTAAAAGTTTCAAACAAAAGCCGCTCGAACGAAATTCAAAACAATTGAATAAATATTTTTTAAAGTCTGGGTCTTTTGTGGTGGGGACATACAAATTATTTTTTATCAAAGCTATATAATTTTCCAATAATCGCTATTGCCACATCAGTTCACTTTCAGTTTCCTTTGAGTAAAGTCTGAAGGTTTATCAGTCATGAAATTGACAATTTTATTTTGTGTAATTCTGCCTTTGGTAGTTTTGGCGCAGGATATGCCCAAACGTCCACCACCTCCACCGATTGAAGTAGATGAGGATACGAGGATCATACCTAAATCGTAAGTAATTTTGGCTATGATTTTTTTCAAAAAAAACCTTAATTTGGTAGGATTGTATGATAATCTGAAACTTTATTGAAAAAAGCTCTAAGATTCTAGTGCCTTACAGTTGAAATTTGAAAGGTTGTATAAATAGAAAGCTTATTTTTAACTATCCTGAAAAAGTTCAATGATCCGAAAAAAACATGACTCAGTGTCAATAAAATTGTTTTCATCGAAGCAGCACTTATGAAATAAAGTTGTGGTTCACGACTTTGTATCCACGACATTTAATTTAAGTTTTTACAACTTATTCCTAAAATTATTTTTTTTTTCTTTATCAGTGTTTTTACAGTCGTTGCTCCATATGACATCCGTCAAGGAAAATCTTACAACATCTATGTCCGGGGATTTAATATTAAAAATTCAGTTCGTCTGACCATAAGAATCAATGGAACCAGTGATTCAGGGGATGTCTTGAGCATTAAAAAAACTGCCACAATAACAAGGTCTTCTTCCAGAACATCTGTTTCTATTGATGTGAGTAAACTTAATTTTTTTTTAAACACGTGAAAAATGCCACGTTGGAATTAATTACGAAGTTAGACCAATGATCTCAACTCATTTATGCGAGACTTAAACTTTATCAACCTTAGTACATATTAAGCTATTAGAACAACTTTTGCATGTAATAAAATTGAAATATTCAAAAATTACAGACATCATCAATCACCAGAGGCAACTATGCACTTTATGTTGAGACTGAAAACTTTGCAGAAAAGAGAAGCTTGACTTACATAACCAAACAGTATTCATTCCTTCTTCAACTAAGCAAAGCTATTTTCTTACCTGGTGATCTTCTTCAATTCAGAGTCTATGCTGTTGATTCTGAAACAAAAGCTGTAACTCCAAAATGCTCGAATATTGTTTCAATCACTGATGGAAATGGCAATGAGATCACATCTTTCAAAAATGTTTCATTTAATCGAGGCAAATATGAAAATAGTTTACAATTGTCTAGCAAAGCTGGATTGGGAGTCTGGAATGTCCAATTCCAATGTGATGAACAGATAATATCCAAAGAATTTGAAGTTGCTGAATATACACTTCCATTGATCCAAGGCTCTATATCTGTGCCATCAGATACTCCCTTTAAATTTGGTAAAGTTCCAATTACAGTTGAAGTCTCATACACATTCGGTGGTGATGCTTCAGGAAATGCAACTGTAACTATCCAAAGATATGGAACAAATATGTTAAAGCGAACTGTTGTTATAACATCTGGATCTGCAACATTCGACGTTGACATTGTAAAAGATTTACAAGTTCAAGCTGGCGGTTATGGTTATTTCCAGGCAAATTTAGTGTTTGAAGATCCATTGACTGGAAATAAAATTACAGATCAGAAAAGTTTTGCTATCACACCTTACACATACAACATCTATCCACAAGGTGATCAAAGTATTAAGCCAGGAACTCCATTTAAATTTACAATTGCTTTGAAGAAATACGACGGCAGTCCAGCACCAGCAGGAACTAAAGTTAAAGTCACAGGGCAAAGTCCAACTACAATTCCATCCCAAACATTGATAATTGGTGCTGACGGAACTGCTTCATCATCTGTCATGGTACCAACTGGTACTGAATATTTGTCATTAAAACTTACAGCTGCTGATGCATATGATAATTATGTTGGAGCTGGAATTATTCGATATAGTAGTGGATCTTATTTACAAATTGATGTTTTGACTGAAACGTAAGAGACTTGAATTGATTTTGTTCCTTAATTTATAAAATTTAATAATTACAGACCAAAACTAGGACAACGTGTCTACTTCAAAATCAGATCAGGAGAAACAATTGACTTTGTTATGGTTCATATTGTTGCAAAGGGAGTTTTGCTTGAAAGTACTAAAGTTTATTTCGACGACGACAGTAATGAAGATGATGATCTAAATACTGTTGTATATAGTTTCAAGCCATCATTCAAATATGCTCCAGCAACTCAAATAATTGCTTACTACATTAAAGAAAATGGAGATTTTGTAACAACACAAGCCTACATTCAATTGGATAAGGAACTTCCCAACTATGTAAGTTAGTCTATTTGCATAATTGCTGATAATAATTTCTTAATTTTTCATTGCAGCTCAAAATTTCACCAGCAACTCGAGAAGTAAAGCCAGCAGCTAAGATAAACTTGAAAATTGAAAGTTACATTGGATCAAGAGTTTCATTAGTCGCAATGGATCAAAGGTTTGTATAAATCTATATTTAATAGAGATGGATTTTAAAACTTATTTTATGGCTTATTTAAAGATTACTTGCATTGAAAGGTGGCAGCAACATCACGAAACAAAATATCTTCGATGACTTACAACAATACAATTGGAACAACGTGCAATATGATTGGGGCAACATTGCTGATTATGAATTTACATTTGGAGTAAGTTGCCTATTGAATATGACTTAATGTTTTTAACCAAACCAAATTTTTCAGGGTACAGGACTGTTTGTTTTCACAAATATCCCTAGACCAACAAGAAGATATTGGCCAAGACCAGATAGACCAGATAGAGAAGAAATGGAAAGACCAGCTGATAAAGGTGCTGCTAAAAAAGTAGGTGGTGATGTCAAAGTTCGTAAAGATTTTAGAGAAGTTTTCTTATGGCGTGAAGTTCCTATTTATGAGTAAGCATGTTCAGTAATAAGATTCAAACTTACAACTATTTAAATATAAACAATTTCAGTTCTGCTGACGATGACGATGACGAATGGAAAGGATTAGAAAGAATTTCTGAAACAGTTCCAGAATCTATCACAACTTACTTGATCTATGGTGTCTCAATGAGCAAATATGATGGAATTGGATTGTCTGACAATGTTCCATCAGTGACAATCTTTTTGCCATTCTTCCTTTCCGTTGAACTTCCATACTCTGTAAAGCGTAATGAAGTTCTTCTACAAGACATCCTTGTTTTTAATTACTTGAAGAAATCTCAAACTGTCGAAGTTAAGGTTACAAAAGATGCTAAATTTACTGCTGTTGATCTTACTAAATATGGATGGAAAGGTAGGAAACTCATACATGCTTATAAATTCTCTTATTTAACATATAAATTCACTTATAGATACCACTGGATTCTACACACAAAGCGTAACAACTGTAGTTGGTCAGAACATCAAACTTCAATTTGCATTAAAACCAAAAACTCTTGGATTTATTTCCTTCGAAGTAACTGCTAAAGGATCACTAGCTGGTGATGGAATCAAGAAACAATTGAGAGTCATACCTGAAGGAATTCCACGTTCAATCACTTCATCCGTTTTCTTAGCACTTGATTCAAAAACTCCAACAATTCAATCCCAATTAAAGTGTAATCTTCCTGATTCAGCATATCAAGATACAACTGAGATATCAGCTACTGTTGCTGGTGATATTTTTGGAAAGGCTTTGAGTAATCTTGATAAGTTGATTAGCATGCCAGGTGGATGTGGTGAACAAACAATGCTTAGCCTTGCCCCTGATATAGCTATCTATGACTATTTATCAGCATCAGGCAAACTTACACCTACACTACAAGGAACTCTCCAAAGCTACATTCTTGCTGGATATCAAAATGAATTGAGATATCAAAGATTTGATGGAAGTTTCTCAGCTTTTGGTGAAAGTGATCCATCTGGTTCCACATGGTTGACTGCTTATGTCATTGAGTACTTCTATTTTGCTAAAACTATTGTCACTATTGATTCCAACGTCATTGCAAATGGTGCTGATTTTGTCCAGCAACAACAAAATGCTGATGGATCATTCAGAGAGCCTGGTAGAGTTATTCATGTTGATATGCAAGGAGGAAGTGGAGCTGGAATTGGTTTGACAGCTTACTGTGCTATCATGTTCACAATCATCTTACCAGGATACCCTGAATATACAGCAACAAGAGATAGTGCTGTGCAATATTTGGAAAACAATTTCAATTCAAGCAGCACTACCTATGAGTTGGGTGTAATTGCATATGCCTTAGAACTAGTTGGAAGTAGTCAAGCAGATGCAGCATATGATTTGTTCTACAATAGAAGTACAGAAACAAGTCTAATGTTATTCTGGGCTGCACCAGCACCAATATCTCCTGATTTCTGGTACTACAATCAAGCAAGATCTCTTGATATTGAAATTACATCGTATGGACTTTTAACTGTTATCAAACGTGGCGGAGGATTACCTTCAATTCTCAAGATTGTCAAATATCTTGTCAGCAAGTCCAATAGTCTTGGTGGTTATACTTCATCACAAGATACAGTTATGGCATTTTATGCATTGAGTCAATTCGCAAGAACTTTTGCTTTGAATACAAATGTGGCACTTATATTGGCTCCAAATGTTGGAAGTTCAGTTTCAGCCACAGTTGATTCTACAAATGCTTTTACCTTACAATCATTTGAATTGAATCCAGGTGCAAGAAGTATGAACATAACAGCAACAACATCTGACTCAGGACTTGCCATTGTCAGTCTTATCTGCAATTTCTATGAAGATCCAACAAAAGTTGTTCCAGTCTTTAATGTCAATTACAACTTTGGATTTGCATGCAGTTACAGAATCTCTTTTGAAGTCTGTACAAGTTATATTCCAACAGGAAATTCCAATATGGCTATTATGATAGTCAATATGCCATCTGGTTTTGTCTACAATGAATGGCAATCACAATCAAATCCTGACATCAGCCAAACTGAAGTTACAAATCAAGGATCGAAAGTTACATTCTACTTCAACACGATTTCCAATGTAAACAGCTGTGTCTCTGTCAATGCATATAGATCTAAATTTGTTGCTGAATTGAAGCCTGCAACTATTGAGGTTTATGATTATTATGATACTTGTAAGTATGACATGGAAGTATTGATGGAAATCATGAGAAAACCCAGAATTTCAGATTTTGAAATTTTATCTAATTTTCTTCATTTTTACTTTCAGCAAAACAAGGAATGACATCCTATCAAGTTCCAGATTTGAGTGGACCATGTTACTACTATCGTTAAGTCATGGACATCATCATAAATCAATTTTGAATTTGATTTTAAAAATCTTTAAAAATTATAATTTTTTTCTTTGCATTTTCTAAAATTGGATGCATTATTTTGAAATAAAACAATAAATTTCTCAAATCTTAAACAAAACTTTTTAAAGCTTTTAATACTTTACTTGGACTTTAATAGCATTAAACTAGTTTCTTCAAAAAATTTAAAAGTTTTGTTGTGAATCTGAAGTTGATCAACAAATTTTAATTTGCAACCTAGCTAAAGGTTTTTCTTACTATTTAATTCAAATATGCACACGCCATATTTGTGAAGAATTGAATACGATCTATTTGATGAAAAATAAGGACGTGTTTTCATATGAACCATATTTCTATTAAAAAATAAGTACACTTAATTAAATAGTAATTAATCATTCACAGTTATGCTTTAAAAAAAGCGAATTAATGGAAATTATTGTTTACATTCAAAATCAAAATCAATTTTAAAATTAATTTGATTATTTGATTTTTTTTAAAAAGCTAGATTTGAAATTCTTAAGTTTGAAAATAATTTTCTACCTTTTTAAAATTTAAATTTGAAGTTTTCTTGAAATTGTTTTCATTTGAAACACTTTAATATCGTTTAATTAAACAGGTGACATTTAAAAAGATGATGAAATATTCTTGAGAATTTGATTAATAATTTAATTCTCCTTTTATGTGTAATCAGTAATTAAAAACTTATCGTTAAGAATTAAATAACAATTTAATAAAATATTATTTATAACTTGTAAAGTTTTATAAATTCTTTAAAAAAGCTCATAATGTTAAAATCGAATGTTATTGAACCAATGCAAATACGTTTAGGCTAATTAGACAGGTTTCATAAGTAAGGTTCTCAATCTCAAGATTCAAACCTAATCTGATTATTCAAATTGAATCCTTTCTTATGACAATATTTTTGTATCCGTTTAGCTTCCTTAAATTCTTATTTTTAGAATGAAAAATTTCTTTAGTTTTGAAAGAAACTTTCTCATTAACAAAGCTTTTAAATCCTTTTAAAATCAATTTAACAAAATTCCAATCCACCAACCACAACACATACATTAAGTGCCTTCTGAAGGAGAAAAAAGCTGTTTAATGTATTAAAATTAAAACTGTATTTGTCATCCCCACTATAATTGAGTAATTATTAAGCCAATTCTGTTAGTGATAAAAGCATATAAATTTAAAGATCTTTTCCTGCCTCATCAGTTAACTTTCAGTCTTCTTTAAAGAAAGCCTGAAAGGATTATAATCATGAAATTGATTATCTTATTTTATCTTTTTCTGCATATTGTGATTTCTACACAAAAAAGTCCAGGAACACCAAGAAGCATTGACCCGAATTATCGACCAATTCCTAAATCGTAAGTAAAACTCACAAAACCAAGTCAGTGAAATTTAATTTTTGGATCATTCAGGGTTTTTACTGTCGTTGCACCAACTGTAATTCGTCAAGGTAAAACTTTTGAAGTTTATATAAGAGGCTTCAATATACAGGAATCTGTTTACTTGACAATCAGAATCAATGGAACCAGTGATGAAGGTGATAAGTTGAAAATTAAGAAATATGCCAAAATTTCGAGAAGTAGCTCGAAAAAATCTGTGACATTTGATGTAAGTTTGAGGATTTTAATGTTCTTTGATGTGTCTTTTGTGTATCTGTGCTACTTGAACCTTAAAAAATATCCAATGATATTTCTAATTCTAATTCATCTCTTGCTCAGACATCTAAAATCGTAAGTGGAACTTACACACTAGTCATTGAAACTGATGATGGATTTGCTGAGCAGAGAAGCTTGACTTATATGAATAAGAAGTTCTCATTCTTCATTCAATTCAATAAAGCCATTTTTACACCCGGCGATCTTCTTCAGTTCAGAGTCTTTGCTGTTGATTCTGAAACCAAAGCTATTTCTCCTAAATGTACAAGTGCTATTACAATTACTGATCCAAATGATAACTCAATACAGTCATTCGAAGATGTGACATTTAGCAGAGGCAAATATGAAAACAGTTTCCAGTTATCAGAAAAGGCTGGCTTAGGAATTTGGAAGATTTCAGCTCGATGTGATCAAGAGGTATGAAGTTATTTTTGGATAGCTGTAAAGCTTTCATTTAATATTTTTTTAAAAAAGGTTGAAACGAAAGTATTTGAAGTTGCTGAATACATCCTGCCATTATTGGATGGAAAACTAACAGTGCCAAGTATCACACCAGCAACAAATGGGAAAATTCCAATAACTGTTGATATTACATACACTTCTGGAGGTGAAGCTTCAGGAAAGGCAACAGTAACAATATCAAGATATGGAAGTAATGTTTTTACAAAAACTATAACTGTTAATTCTGGAACTGCAACGTTTGATGTCAATATGATAAGAGATTTGAAAATTGATGTCTCGGAATATTCAACCTATCAAGCAGCTTTAGTTTTCGAAGATCCATTGACTGGAATCAAAGTAACTGATACAAAAAGTTTCAGTATTAGACCATATTCTTACAGAATTTCAGCAAATGAAGAAGCACCATTGAAGCCTGGAAGTGATTTAAAATTCACAATTACAATGATTCATGTTGATGGTTCACCAGCACCAGCTGGAACTCTAATTTATCTCAAACCTAATAATCCAAAAACACTTACTCCTCAAAACTTAACCATTGGTGAAGATGGAAGCGTATCATCATCTTACTATATTCCAGAAGGTACTACATATGTCTCTGTAGACATCATTGCTGATGATGCATACGAAGGATATTTTGGACCAAGATTACCAAGCTATGGAAATGGAGCATATTGCCACATTGAAGTTATTACCGAAAAGTAAGGATCTACACTATGGGCCAGAAATGGAAAATTTTTCCAAAAATTATTTCTACAACTTATATGATAGTCCTTATTCTGTCCTACATTTACGTCCTTAAAACTTTGCCTAAGTCGACAGCATGTCCGAGATATGGCACTTCAAAGTTGGTCAGACGACCATTTTCACGTTACATTGAAAATGCTCTCACCAGTCACTGGATGGATGAATCTCCTTCAATTTTTTTTTGGTAATAGCTTTAAATAGTTCCTTCATTTTAAGGTATAAACAATTGCAAAAAACTTTGGAAAATTTTGTGAAAAACTTGATTTTTCTCAAAAACCACGTGTTCGTCATACTTCCGTTTGTGTAGGTCTTCACAAGCACAACCAAAGTTACTAATTTCTTTTTTATATTAAAGATTACATCAAAAGCTATAACTTTTGCATACATGTCGTATAATTTTAACAAAGTTTTGGTAGTGAAAAAAATTTTTTTTATAAAAAAAACACCAATTTTTTGACAAAAATCGCTGTAGTGCTCCAGGGATACCCATGGTAGTGGAATTTTATTTCACATTTAGAAAGCTCTCTGGATATGCTATCAATTAATGCAGTAAAATGAACAAGTGTTCTCTTGGCAAAGAGCACTTTTTTGACTCTGAAAGTCGTATGTCGAGCAAGGTCAAAAAAGAAAAATAATCATAAAAATTTCAGTTTTAAGTAAAATTTAATTTTTTTAAGTTAGATTGATAGATCTTTTTAAAACGCGTCTTTTGAGTATAAATATGTCATAGTTTTGTCAAGTTTCATGATCAGTTTTTTAAAAAAATAGTTTTTTTCAAAAAAAAACTTGAAAAATAAAGTATTTGACTTTAGAATTTCATAAAATGCATTCTTTTTAACATTTTTTTCACTATTTTGTCTAGTTTTGCTCCTCGTTTTTTCCTAAACATAAATCAATAAGAACTTAACATAATTGAAGCCATTTGGAGGTTAAATTGAGTTAAAAATCGTTTAAAATTTTTGTATTTCTTAAATAGTTCTTTACACAAGTATCTAAGATATAAAGTGTTGCATAGTTTTGAAAAGGTATTAAAATTTCCAATATGTTAACATGAAAATTTTAGGAAAATTTTCAAGTAATATAGTCAATTTGGGTAAAAAACGCATTTTATATATGCTAGTTTTTAATGTTTTTCGTTTTTCTCAGCAAAGACTTTATGAAAAACTCTCAAAGTTTGCACACTTATTTGTTATATAAATGTTAATGACTCGTATAAGTTTTGGAATTTTCTATTGAGTTTTTCATGAGTTCTCCAAATCTGAAATTTTCAATATTAAAAATCCTTTTTTCTCAATAATTCCGATTTTTTATTTATAAATAAATATCTTATTTTGTTTCATTTTTCAATATCTTTTCATTGATATGTAACAATCTACGAAAAAAATAAGACTAGCGAGAAATCAATAAAAAAAGTGTCAAAAATTTATGAAAATTCTACGCTATTTTAATTTTTTATCCTTTTCTGGTTAATTTTATTAAGTTTTGTAAGAGTATTATACCTTTTTGCAAATTTATAGCTTAAGACTTTCATCTGCTTTCATCCACTAAAATTCGTATGAGTTTACGATAAGCACAACTGAAGTTAAATAAGCTTCACGTTGGCTACAAAAGACAGTTCCATATGAAGAAAACCAGATATTAATTTTAATGCTATTTGAGCTATAATATTAAACTTTTTCATTTAGTTTTGTTATAAATGTTTCATGTATTTAATAGCAGCCTGAAGATTTAATTTAAAGCTTTTAAATAATTTGATTTTAAAAAATTCAAAATTTTTGGTTGCGCCAACGTGAAGCTTATTTAACTTCAGTTGTGCTTATCGTTGACTCATACGAATTTTAGTGGATGAAAGCAGATGAAAGTCTTAAGCTATAAATTTGCAAAAAGGTATAACACTCTTACAAAACTTAATAAAATTAACCAGAAAAGGATAAAAAATTAAAATAGCGTAGAATTTTCATAAATTTTTGACACTTTTTTTATTGATTTCTCGCTAGTCTTATTTTTTTCGTAGATTGTTACATATCAATGAAAAGATATTGAAAAATGAAACAAAATAAGATATTTATTTATAAATAAAAAATCGGAATTATTGAGAAAAAAGGATTTTTAATATTGAAAATTTCAGATTTGGAGAACTCATGAAAAACTCAATAGAAAATTCCAAAACTTATACGAGTCATTAACATTTATATAACAAATAAGTGTGCAAACTTTGAGAGTTTTTCATAAAGTCTTTGCTGAGAAAAACGAAAAACATTAAAAACTAGCATATATAAAATGCGTTTTTTACCCAAATTGACTATATTACTTGAAAATTTTCCTAAAATTTTCATGTTAACATATTGGAAATTTTAATACCTTTTCAAAACTATGCAACACTTTATATCTTAGATACTTGTGTAAAGAACTATTTAAGAAATACAAAAATTTTAAACGATTTTTAACTCAATTTAACCTCCAAATGGCTTCAATTATGTTAAGTTCTTATTGATTTATGTTTAGGAAAAAACGAGGAGCAAAACTAGACAAAATAGTGAAAAAAATGTTAAAAAGAATGCATTTTATGAAATTCTAAAGTCAAATACTTTATTTTTCAAGTTTTTTTTTGAAAAAAACTATTTTTTTAAAAAACTGATCATGAAACTTGACAAAACTATGACATATTTATACTCAAAAGACGCGTTTTAAAAAGATCTATCAATCTAACTTAAAAAAATTAAATTTTACTTAAAACTGAAATTTTTATGATTATTTTTCTTTTTTGACCTTGCTCGACATACGACTTTCAGAGTCAAAAAAGTGCTCTTTGCCAAGAGAACACTTGTTCATTTTACTGCATTAATTGATAGCATATCCAGAGAGCTTTCTAAATGTGAAATAAAATTCCACTACCATGGGTATCCCTGGAGCACTACAGCGATTTTTGTCAAAAAATTGGTGTTTTTTTTATAAAAAAAATTTTTTTCACTACCAAAACTTTGTTAAAATTATACGACATGTATGCAAAAGTTATAGCTTTTGATGTAATCTTTAATATAAAAAAGAAATTAGTAACTTTGGTTGTGCTTGTGAAGACCTACACAAACGGAAGTATGACGAACACGTGGTTTTTGAGAAAAATCAAGTTTTTCACAAAATTTTCCAAAGTTTTTTGCAATTGTTTATAAGCTATTACCAAAAAAAAATTGAAGGAGATTCATCCATCCAGTGACTGGTGAGAGCATTTTCAATGTAACGTGAAAATGGTCGTCTGACCAACTTTGAAGTGCCATATCTCGGACACGCTGTCGACTTGGGCAAAGTTTTAAGAACGTAAATGTAGGGCAGAATAAGGACTATCATATAAGCTGTAGAAATAATTTTTGGAAAAATTTTCCATTTCTGGCCCATAGTGGATCTGTTGCAAAGCTTAAAAGTTTCCCTCTTTACATTTCATCACCTTAACTTTCAGACCTAAAATAAATCAACCTGTTGAACTAAAGATAAGAACTTTGTTCAAAGTTGATTTTGTAATGCTTCACGTTATCTCAAAAGGAGTTCTTTTAGAAAGTTCAAAAGTTTATTTCGAAGATGACAGAACTGAAGATGATGAATTCAGCGCAGTCAATTACAAAATCAAGACTTCATTTAAAAACGCACCAGTAACAAAAGTTATTGCTTATTACATTAGAGGTGATGGAGATTTTATTGTTGGACAAGCTTATATCAGTTTTGAAAATGAACTTCCCAATTATGTAAGATATACTTTTTGATAATTAATGGCAACTGAGAGGCAAAGCTTATTATTAAAATTTCAGCTTCAAATTACACCAGCAACTCAGGATGTAAAGCCAGGCGAAGAAATAAGTTTGAATATTGAAAGTAAAATGTATTCAAGAGTCTCATTGGTCGCTATGGATCAAAGGTATATACTGGCATTTATTCACTTCTAACGACAATTTGTAACTTTAACCCTACTTTATTCAGACTTTTGTTACTAAGAGAAGGTGCTAATATCACTAAAAACACTGTGTTTGCAGATTTAAGACAATACACTTCCTACAATGTTAAATATGATTACAACAACCTCGCTGAATATGAATATAAGTTTGGAGTAAGTACTGAATTAACAAGACTTTACCTAAACATCTTATGATGAACTTTTGTTACAAAATATATTATTTAGAGTGCGGGGCTTTTTGTCTTTACCAATATCCCGAGACCACCAATCAAATATAGAAGATCATTACCAATAGAAGAAAGAGCAAGCAAACCAAGAAGAAGTGGACCATCAGGCAGAGATGATGTTAAAGTTCGAAAAGATTTCAGAGAAACATTTTTGTGGCGTGAAGTTGGCATTTATGAGTATGAATCTTTTGAGTTTTCAAGCATTTCAATTTCTTAAAAACATAAACATTTCTAGATCCGCTAACGATGACGATGATGACTCAAGAGGTTTAGAAACAATCACTGAAAAAGTTCCAGAATCTATCACAACTTACTTGATTTACGGTGTCTCAATGAGCAAATATGATGGAATGGGATTATGTGATAATGTCCCATCAGTCAGCATCTTCTTACCATTTTTCCTCTCCGTTGATTTTCCATATTCTATTAAACGTAATGAAGTTCTAGTTCAAGACATTTTCATCTTTAATTATTTGAGAAAGAGTCAAACTGTTGAGGTTAAAATAACAAAGGATGCATCATTTGATGCTGTCGATTTTGAAACTTATGGATGGAAAGGTAGGAAAATGAGATAATAACCTTCACTAAAGCTAATACTTTCTAATTTACAGATACCAAAAGCTTCTACGTCAAAACTATAACAACTGTTGTTGGTAAGAACATCAAACTTCAATTTGGAATCAAGTCCAAATCCTTAGGTTTTGCAACATTTGAAATAACTGCTAAAGGAGCATTGGCTGGTGATGGAATCAAAAAACAATTGAGAATCATACCTGAGGGAATATCACGTTCAATTACTTCATCGGTATTCATAGCTCTTGACTCTAAAAATCCAGAGTTTAAGACAACATTGAGCTGCACTCTTCCTAAGTCTGCATACCAAGACACAACCTCTGTTTCTGCTACTGTTGCTGGTGACATTTTCGGAAAAGCTTTAAGCAATCTTGACAAATTGATTAAAATGCCGAGCGGTTGTGGGGAACAAACAATGTTAAGTCTTGCACCTGATATCGCCATTTATGAATATTTATCAGCATCAGATAAGTTGACACCAGCATTAAAAACTACTCTAGAAACATACATTCGTGCTGGATATCAGAATGAATTGAGATATCAAAGACGTGATGGAAGTTTTTCAGCATTTGGTGAAAGTGATCCATCTGGTTCAACATGGTTGACTGCTTATGTTGTCGAATACTTCTATTTTGCCAAATCTATGATCACAATTGACTTAAACATTATAAAGAAAGGTGCCGATTTTGTTATCGAGCAACAATCTCCTGATGGATCATTCAAAGAACCTGGAAGAGTTATTCATTCTGATATGCAAGGAGGAAGTGGAGCAGGAATTGGATTAACAGCTTACTGTGTAATTATGCTTACATTCCTTCTTCCTGATTATCCTGATTACAAAGATGCAAGAGATAAGGCTGTTAAATACTTGGAAGACAACTACAGCACTGGAAGAACTATCTATGAATTAGGTATTATAGCTTATGCATTGAAAGTGGCAGACAGCAGCAAAGCAAGTTCCGCATATGACATGTTTTATGCCCAAAAGACCGAAACAACAACTCTATTATTCTGGGCAACACCAGCACCACAAAACGATGGATTTTCTTACTATAATCAACCAAGATCACTTGATATTGAAATCACTTCTTATGGTTTAGTAACAGTCATCAAGAGAAGTGAAAAATTGGCCACAGTTCTGAAAATTGTAAAATATCTTGTCAGTCAAGCCAATAACCTTGGTGGTTATAGTTCATCACAAGATACAGTCATGGCATTCTATGCAATGAGTCAATTTGCTAGCTCTTATTCTTTAGATACAAATGTGGAACTTACTATGACACCAAATTTCGGTGATGAATTTGAAGCCAGTGTTGATTCCTCAAATGCTTTAACTTTACAATCCTTTGATTTGAATGCTAGCACTAGAAAATTGAAGGTAGTTGCAACTACTGATGATTCTGGTCTTGCTATTGTCAGTCTTATCTGTAACTTTTATGAAGATCCAACAAAAGTTGTTCCAGTTTTCAACGTAACTTACAGCTTTGAGAACACGTGTATACAAAGAATAACCATGGATGCTTGTGCAAGCTATATTCCTAAAGGTAAATCCAACATGGCCATCATGATTGTAACACTTCCTTCTGGATTTATCTTCAATGCAAGACAAATCCAAGAGAATCCTGATATAAGCAGAACAGAAGTTACAAATCAAGGAACGAAGGCCACATTTTACTTCAACAGCATTTCAAGCAGAAGAAGTTGCGCTTCCGTTAATGCTTACAGAAACAAGTTTGTTGCTGAATTGAAGGGAGCAACTATTGAAGTTTACGATTACTATGACACATGTAAGGATGTCGAATCTATTTTGGGATTTATATTTTTTTTATATTTTCTTTGTTTACAGCTAAGCAAGGAATGACTTCTTATCCACCTCCTGCTTTGACAGAAGAATGCAGATACTATCGCTAATAGTGTGAGCCTCACTAATTGATTAAAAAATTGAATTTTAAGCAAGTTTTCTAAATTTTTTCAATTTTGCATTAAAAGTTTTGATTTAATTTTAAAGTTTTTAATTCTCTTCTTGTATTTCCTCAATTCTGAATAAAACTTTGGCTTGATAACTTATTATTTGTTTTTTATTCCATTTTGATTTCTAGTTAAAATAAATTAAATTAAGATTAGAATTTTAATCAGACATTTTAGGAGCCAAAAATTGTATAAACTTCAACTTTAGAGAAGAATTAAAATTATTCAACTTAAAAAATGAATTTGGACCAATTTATTGTTCAGCAGCTAAATTTAAACTCAATTATTTACCGGCATAATTTCATCTGAACAAATATTTTTCACAATTTTCAACAAATGTGCAAACATTGAACACGAGCATTCTAAATAAGAAGACTCAACTTATTTATCTTCTTGAGAACCTACATCAATTGTAAAAGTGGCAATTTATTCAGACTTTTTCCCTTATTTTCTTTCATTATGAAAAATAATTTTATGATTAATATTACAACATTAATCATTCATCCATTGAAGAGGCGAAGTGATCCGTTCCTATCAATACTTTTTTAAACCAGACTTAAATCGATCCAATTAAATAAGAAATTTTATTTTTCAGTCGAGGTAAAAAGCTTGTTTAAATACAATTAAAAACAGATACATTTTCATAAATAATATCAATTCTCAGGAATTTTTTCCTCTAAGATCCACGTTGTTGGATCATAATTATCGCTGATGTCGCTAACTGGATCTTTTTTTGAGAATGCTGACTAAACAAAGCATTAGATTGTGTGAAACTGTTATGGATCGAAATCATGTCTAAATTTGAGGAAGGAAGTCCATCCATGAAGAGAGCTGGTTTTAAAAACTCCATGCCAAGATTACACAAAAATAAGACAAATAATCTAGCAGGGAGATTCCCAAACAGAAAAACACCTGGTCCACCTTTAAAAATTGCCATCTGGATAAATCAAATTGTTTTAATGCTTACAAAAAAAGTAAAAAATGTATTGCTTTTAATCCACACATCTTATTCCATTCCACAGGAGAAAAATAATACATCTTTATATGACAATTTTTAAATGTGGTAATGATCCCCACTCCAGATAAATTATTATTAAGACAATATATATTGGAAGATCTGCCAGTTCTACATCAGTTGACTTTCAGTTTTCTTTTCATTAAGGACTGAAAGTTGTTCAATTATGAATTACATAATTTTATTTTATTTGTCACTGTTTGTGGTTTGTACTACACAGTTAAGTCCTCCAGTTTCACAACCTGCTTCAAGACCACCAGCTTCTAGCCCAGTTTCGAGACCACGAAGACCTCCACGATCTGATGAAAGAATCCTTCCTGAATCGTGAGTTCAAAGCAATTATTATTTATTTTATTTTTATTAAACCATCCTCAAAGAGGATCTGTTGACGTGTGCCAACTCAACCAAAAAATACATTTTTGAAATACTTTATTTATATTCAGCTAATACAGCTGAACCAATATTGCTGTTGTCATAACCTTAAAAAAATTGTGTTTGTCATTCTTCAGAATTTTCACAGTCGTTGCTCCTTATGTGATTCGTCAAGGAAAAACTTTCAACGTTCAGGTCAGAGGATTCGATGTCAAAACTACCATTCGATTGACAATCAGAATCAATGGAACAACTGACGGTGGAGAAAAATTAAAGCTCAAGAAGTCTGTAACTCTATCAAGAGGTAACTCAAAGGCTTCTGTATCATTTGATGTAAGTTTCAAATAAGTTTTCAGCCTTAAACCTTTTAAAAATATTTTCAAACAGACTTCCTACATTGAAAGTGGAAGCTACTCACTTTTTGTTGAAACTGAAGGCTTTGCAGAAAAGAGAACATTGACTTACATGAGGAAGAAATACTCATTCTTTGTACAATTCAACAAAGCTATCTTCTTGCCTGGTGATCTTCTTCAGTTTAGAATTTTTGCTTTAGACTCAGAAACTAAAATGGCAACTCCTACATATGCAAATATTATTTCAATTGCTGATCCGAGGAGAAATGCTATAATGTCGTTCCAAAATGTTACATTTAAGAGAGGAAAATATGAGGGCAGTTTCAAGTTGAGTGAAAAAGCTAGCTTGGGAGTATGGACATTACGTTTTACATGTGAACAGGAGGTGAATATTTTTAAAAAATATTTTTTTTTGTAATTAATAATCAGCTATAATCATTTTTAATTTCTAAAGATTGTTCAAAAACTTTTCGAAGTTGCTGAATACACACTTCCACTATTAAAAGCAACATTATCTGTTCAAAAACTCACTCCATATAAATTTGGAAAAGTCTCAATCACAATTGATGTATCATATACTTCTGGAGGTGAAGCTTCAGGACCAGCTACAGTTTCAATCAGCAAAAATGGACCTGATATATTACAAAAAACTGTTCAAATTGAGTCTGGAACGGCAACAATTGAGCTTGACATCGTGAATGATTTAAAATTGCCTGCTGGATTATCTGGATCATTTGGAGCATCTGTTGTCTTTGAGGATGCATTAACAGGAAATAAGGTTGTTGATTCCAAGAATTTTGAAGTCACACGCTATACTTATACAATAAGCTCCAGAACAGAAAGTATTGCTAAACCAGGATCACCATTAACATTCACAATTACCATGCAAAGATATGACGGCTCACCAGCACCAGCAGGTACTCAAGTCACAATTGAAGCTAATGTACCAGATAATATTCCATCACAAACTTTAACAATTGGTGATGATGGAACTGTTACGTCATCAGTTGACATACCTTCTAATACGACATATTTTAATATGAAAATCAAGGCAGAAGAGGCTGATGGTAGAAATCTCTACGCTAGAATAATATCATCTGGAACTCAAAGAGGACCATTTATACAAATTGATGTTTTGACTCCTGAGTAAGTAAATTAAGTCTTTTATAAGCTTTATGGATTAAAAAAATACCATTTCAGACCTAAAATAAACGAGCAATTGCAAATTCATGTCACAACTGGAGAACAAGTGCTCTCGGTAATGCTTCATATTATGTCAAAAAGTGTTTTGTTGGATTCAATTAAACTAAACTTCGATAGTGATAGCGATGAAGATAATGATAAGACGACCGTTATTTACACAATGAAACCTTCATTCAAGTATGCACCGGAAATACAATTTTTTGCATATTATATTACAAAATCTGGTGATTTTGTTATTGGACAAACAAGAGTCAGGCTACAAAACGATCTTCCTAATTATGTAAGAACATTTTAATTTCTAAATTTAGTAACTTAATTAAAATTTGAAACCTTTTAGCTTAAAATTTCACCATCAACTCAAGACGTGAAGCCTGGTGAAGAAATAAGCTTAGACATTGAAAGCAAAATTGGTTCTAAAGTATCATTGCTTGCTATGGATCAAAGGTATGAAGGGCATATATTTTCAACAATTTTTCAACCCAATTAATTTTTTCTTTCTTTATCCAGAGTTTTGTTATTAAGAACGGGTCATAATTTTACCAAAGAAGAAGTAATTCGGGATTTAAATAAATACAATCTTAATAATATCCGTTACGAGTCTAGAGTGGCTGGATACGAATATGATTTTGGAGTTAGTAAACTTAATCTTTTCATATTTGATACTGATTTTAAACTAAACATATAAATTTTATAGGATGCTGGACTTTTTGTTTTTACTAATATTCCTCGACCATATCGATCAGTTCCAAGACGCAGGCAGGCAATGAGCAGACCACGAGGTAGCAAACCTGGTTCAAGGGAACTCAAAGTTCGTGAAGATTTCAGAGAAACTTTCTTGTGGCGCGATGTTTCAATTTATGAGTAAGTAAGGTCCCAAATGACGGTTAATAACGGATATCTAGGAGATTAGTTTGTCTTTCATTAACTTTATATAACTTTAGTTCAGCCAACGACTACGATGATGAATCTAAAGGTATTGCAACAATCACTGAGAAAGTTCCTGAATCAATTACAACTTACTTGATCTACGGTGTCTCAATGAGCAAATATGATGGAATTGGATTGTCTGACAATATTCCAGAAGTCAGCATCTTCTTGCCTTTCTTCCTCTCTATTGAACTTCCATATTCTGTAAAACGCAATGAAGTTCTTATCCAAGACATTCTCATCTTTAATTATTTGCCAAGAAGACAAACTGTCGAAGTTAAAATCACTAAGAACGATGGTTTTGAAGCTGTTGAACTTGAAAACTATGGATGGAAAGGTAATAAATTGACTTAAAAACAGACAATATCTTATTGGTCGTGATTCCTCATTACAGATGTCAAAGGTTTTTATGTCAAATCTATCAAAACTTATGTCAATAAAAACATTAAGCTTCAGTTCGCTTTAAAATCAGACATTATCGGATTTATTCCATTCGAAGTGACTGCCAAGGGTCCATTAGCTGGTGATGGAATCAAAAAACAATTGAGAATCATACCTGAGGGAATATCACGTTCAATTACTTCATCGGTATTCATAGCTCTTGACTCTAAAAATCCAGAAGAAAAAGCAACATTAACCTGCACTTTTCCAAAATCAGCTTATATGGACACAACATCTGTCTCTGCAACTGTTGCTGGAGATGTTTTTGGAAAAGCGTTGATTAATCTTGATAAATTAATTAAAATGCCGAGCGGTTGTGGGGAACAGACAATGCTTAGCCTTGCTCCTGATATAGCCATTTATGAATATCTATCAGTATCAGAAAAGTTAACTGGAACATTGCAAGGAACTCTTCAAAACTACATCCGTGCTGGATATCAAAATGAAATGAGATATCAAAGACGTGATGGAAGCTTCTCAGCTTTTGGGGACTATGATAAATCAGGTTCAACATGGTTGACTGCTTATGTCGTTCAATACTTCTATTTCGCTAAGAATATAATAACAATTGATCCTAATGTCCTCAAGGGAGGTGCTGATTTCGTTGTGAGAAACCAAAATGCAGATGGATCTTTCAAAGAGCCTGGAAGAGTTTTTCACACTGATATGCAAGGAGGAAGTGGAGCAGGAATCGGATTGACAGCTTACTGCACAATTGTACTTTCTATTCTCATGCCTGATTATCTTGATTTTGTTACAGCAAGAGATAAGGCTGTTAAATACTTGGAAGACAATTACAGCACAGGAAGAACTCTCTATGAATTAGGTATCATATCGAATGCATTACAAATAGCTAAAAGTAGTAAAGCAAGTTCCGCATACAACATGTTCTATGCAAAGAAAACTGAAGCAGATGGACTTTTATATTGGACAACACCTGCACCTGCAAATCCTGATTATTGGTATCGTAACCAACCAAGATCACTTGACATTGAAGTAACTTCATACGGTTTACTTACAGTCATCAAAAAAGGTGAAAAATTAGCAACAATTCTGAAGATTGTCAAGTATCTTGTCAGTAAAGCCAATAACCTTGGTGGTTATAGTTCATCACAAGATACAGTTATGGCATTCTATGCATTGAGTCAATTTGCTAGAACTTACGCTTTAGATGCAAATGTGGAACTCACTATGACACCAAATGTCGGTAATAAATTCGAAGCCAGTGTTGATTCTTCTAATGCATTTACTCTCCAATCATTTGAATTGAAACCAAGTACTACAAAATTGAAGATTGTTACAACTACTGATGATTCTGGTCTTGCCATTGTCAGTCTTATCTGCAACTTCTATGAAGATCCAACAAAAGTTGTTCCAACCTTTAACGTGACTTACAATTATGGTTTTACGTGCAATTCTAGAATGACATTAAATGTTTGTGCTAGTTATATCCCTAAAGGTACATCCAACATGGCTATTATGATTGTAAATATGCCATCTGGCTTTGTTTATAATGATCGACAAGGTCAACGAAATCAAGATATTAGCAGAACTGAAGTCGTAAATCAGGGATCACAAGTAATTTTCTACTTTAACAGTTTCTCGAATGCAGAAAGTTGTGTGACAATAAACGCTTTTAGAGCCAAAATTGTTGCTGAATTGAAGGGCGCAACAATCGAAGTTTACGATTATTATGACACATGTAAGGATGTTAGATTTAATTTTAATTCAGATTTAAAATAACTCTTGTATGTTTTACAGCTAAACAAGGAATGACATCATATCCTCCTCCAGATATGACTGAAAAATGTTATTACTACGAATACGATGGTGAATGAAATTAAATTTTCTATTTTTCATGCTTTCATTTGATTATTCTGACTTATTGTTCTTTCCTATTTCCTTTAATTCATCATTTATGAAATTTTTAATAAAATAGAATTTGAATTGCACAATTAAGAATCTTTGAATTTACTTTTTTTTTTAAACAAAGAACATAATGGAGATGTTGTGGATTTACAGAAAACTTTTATATTTTTTTATGTCCTCAGTATTGATCGATGGTTGGACAATTGTAGTAAAAAGAAAAAAAATGTACTTTTAAAATTTTGAGAACAGTCATAAGTTCTGTAGCAGCAGCTCTTGTAAAATTTATTTACTTTTTACATTCGTGTTTGGAAGTCAGATCAGCAATAGAAGAAAATATTGCAAAAGCTAATATTGTCCAAAAAGAACCCTACTCAACTTCTTCAACGCTCTATTCATTTGAGCTGAAATCCTTATAAAATAACTTTTTTATAATAAGTAGAATAAAATTCATCACTTTTTAATTTATTGTGTTTTATTTAAAATTATCTGTTCAAATAATAACAATAAAAACAAATTGAATGAACAAAAATGGGGAATTATGTCACTTAATTATTATTTTTAAAAAAGCACGTAATCAATAGTAGACACAAAATGGCAACTCACTTTTCGAACTTAGCGAATCAGTGAAGGGTTTTCCTCTCCAAATAGGATAGAATTAAAAAATAATTATATTTTAAGAGCACAATAAAAATTCACACATAAAGTTGTGTTCATACAGGAATTGAATTGGGGTACAATTCCCCTAATTAATTGTTGTGTTTAAAATGTGATAGTGATCCCACTCCAAATTTTTAAAGAGTAATTTGTTAAAATAAAATATATAAATTAGTAAAGCTTCTACCATCACATCAGTCAATCTTCAGTTTTCATCTGAAAAGGACTTAAAGTTTTTCAATTATGAAGTACATTGTTCTAGTTTATTTTTCGCTATTTGTAGCACTTTCTACGCAGTCAAGACCATCATCGAGTGAAAGAAAAATTCCAGATTCGTAAGTATTTAAAACTGTTGGAATATGCGATTCCATGTATTAGCCAGTCAACGATAAATCATGTGGTGCAAGGAATCATGCATGCGACCGGAAATCGTAGGACCTGGGTTCGAATCCCGCTCGAGATCCGTTATTCAGAGTTATACTTTTTTCTGTGGTTTTATCATCTAGAAGTTTGATTCTTCCTTCTAGGTGTTTCAGTGAAAACTGTTAATTTTATTAAATTTCAATTCACACAACGTAAAGCAAAGCTGTGCTTTAAAAATATCCAGAAAGTTTAAATTAATCTTTTCCAAATTCAATTCACTTATTCTTTCTCTACTTAGGATTTTTACAGTCGTCGCACCTTTTAATATTCGTCAGGACAAGCCATTTAATGTTCAAGTGAGAGGATTTGATTTATAAAAGACAATTAGATAAACAATAGTAATCAGTGGAACTAGTGATGATGGTGAAAAAGTTAAGCTCAAGAAAACGGCAACTATTTCAAGGAGTAGTTCTAAAGCTTCTGTGGCATTTGATGTGAGAAAATATATTTATATAACAAGTGGAAAGTACTCTCTTATCGTTGAATCTGAGGGCTTTACAGAGATGAGAACCTTGACTTACATAAAGAAGAAATATTCATTTTTTGTCCAATTTAACAAAGCTATATTCTTACCCGGTGATCTTCTTCAATTCAGAATTTTTGCTGTCGATTCAGAAACTAAAATGGCAACTCCAAAATGTTCAAATGTTGTTACTTTCACAGATACCAATAGAAATAACATAATGACATTCGCTAATGTCACATTTAAAAAAAGAAAATATGAAAACAGTTTCCAATTGTCTGAAAAAGCAAGATTGGGAGAATGGATATTGCAATTCCAATGCGATCAAGAAGTAAGTAAAACTATTTTTAAGTTCTGTTCAATCAAAATTTTTAAATCCTTTTAATCTAGAAAATTCAAAAATCTTTTGTCATTGCTGAATACACACTTCCATTTTTGGACGCAAAAATATCAATGCAAGAATATACTCCATTTAAGTTCGGAAAAGTTCCAATCACAATTGATGCAAAATACATTTCCGGTTTTGAAGCATCAGGAACAGCAACAGTTACAATCAAGAGGAATGGAAATGGCGTGTTTTCAAAAACTTTATCAGTTAATTCTGGAAGTGGAACCTTCGACATGGATATAGTAAATGATCTAAAAGTTACATCAAATGAAATTACAGCTTATTTTGAGGCAGTTGTTGTTTTTGAAGAAAAGGAATGGGATTAACGGCTTATTGTTCAATTTTCCTAACAATACTCGCTCCTGACTATCCTGAGTATGCTATTGCAAGAAACAAAGCCATAGAATATTTGGAAATCAATTACAGCAATAAGAATTCTCTTTTTGAATTGGGTATCATAGGTTATGCATTACAACTTGCAGGAAGTAGTAGAGCAGGAAAAGTATATAATATGTTCCTTCCACAAAGAGAAGGTTCATCAACAGAAGAATTTTGGGCAGTTCCAATACGACCTTCACCTGATTTTTGGTATTTTAACCAAGCAAGATCTCTGGATGTTGAACTTACTTCTTATGGCTTACTCACAGTCATCAATCGTGATGATAGTTTGGCTTTAATTTTAAAGATCGTTCAATATCTCGTCAGTAAAGCTAATAACTTTGGTGGTTATAGTTCCTCACAAGATACAGTCATGGTATTCTATGCTTTGAGCCAGTTTGCTAAAACTTATTCTTCAGACGCAAATGTAGAACTTAAATTGACACCAAATGCCGGAAAAGCGTTTAAAGCTTCTGTTGATTCCTCAAATATTTTCAAATTACAATCATTTGATTTGAATGCAAGCACAACAGAAATGAAAATTGCCGCAACGACAGATGATTCTGTCCTTGCTATTGTCAGTCTTATCTGTAATTTTTATGAAGATCCAACAAAAGTAGTTCCAGCCTTCAATGTGACTCACCAGTTTGAATCCTCATGCACACACAGAATGACATTTAAAGCTTGTGCTAGTTATATCCCTAAAGGCACATCCAACATGGCTATAATGATTGTAAATTTGCCATCTGGTTTTGTTTATATTGATGAACCAAATTACGATGTCAGTCAAACTGAAGTCGCAAATCAAGGTTCAAAGTTTACATTTTACTTTGAGAAAATCTCAAATCAAAGCATTTGTGTCACTGTCAAAGCATTTAGATCTGAATTTGTTGCTGAACTGAAAGTTTCAACTATCGAAGTTTATGACTATTATGACACATGTAAGTTATTTCAAACAAAATTCGATATTAAATCTCAACATATTTTATATTTCTAGCTGAACAAGGTATGACATCTTATCCAGCTCCTGATTTGAGCAGTCCATGCAGTCGCTCTGAATAATTTCATAACCTTAAAATGACCAACAATTGCTTAATTTTTTGAAACGTTTGTAATTTTTTAATTTCAAATAAATAAGCTACATTTTGGCATTTCAATTTGATTTTATGCATGCAATTTCTGAGGCTAGACTTTTTTTTATTTAAGAAATTTCGAAATTTTCAGTTTTTAAATAAAATGTTTTCGTCACAATCTTTAATTCAAATGATTTCAATTTTGTCAAATCATCTGGAAATGACTTCATTAATTCCTCTGCAATCTGTGACTTGAGACTTGACTTCTTTGTGTTCTTTTCTGTCGACATTTTTCTTCTCAAAATTCTTCCATTTTTCCTTACAAAAGCTTTAGTCTTTGCTGTTCGAGTGACGACTTTTATTGGATGACTGACAATTTGTGGACTTCCATTAAGAATTTTGTGTAGTGATTGACGAAACATTTGATCAAAAATTCTCGAAAATTACAAAGTAACTTGATCAAGTTTTCAACGATTTTCATTCTCGACTGAAATTTTCAGTTTTGTTTCGATCGTTGAGCAGACAAGACCAAATTTTCAAAGTCTTAAATTTAAATCATTAATAATGTTTCGTCAATCATCAAAAATTCTTCGTCAATCACTAAGCATCTCAAGAATTGGACAAAGACGATTCGAGAGCAACGACTCAAAAGATTCAATGTGCAAACATCATCAAGATCTTGTGCCGCCATTTTCTGAAGTTGGAAAATTAAAGTCATTTGAATTGAAATCAGATTGCACTACATTCCACATGAAATCGAGTGGATACAACCCTTGCTGCCCACCATGTCCAACACCTAGCACACCTTGTCCACCACCCAAGAAGCCTTGTCCATGTCCTGAAGAAAATCCTTACAATTTTTAATCAATTTAAGACATAGGATGCAATAAATATAATATATTTTTTCGACATCAAAGCTATTCATTCTATCCCTTTAATTCTTTTTTCCCTTTCAGCATTTCGACCTTTTGAGTGTCATTCACGCAACATGTATTAATTAAGCCGACAATAAAGCCTTCACTTTGAACTCTCTTATTTCGTTTTTGGCTTTTGACATTTCATTATTTTCATGCTTCTTATTTACTCGCAATGGATACGAAATAGCGGAATATTGAGGATACAGGGGGATTTGAGTGAATTTGTAAAGACAGTTTGGGTTAGGATTTGATCTATAGTTGTTTAAGAGTAAGGTTTGTGGAAAACAGCTGTTTTTGAAAAACAGTCTGTTTTCGGTTTTTGATTTTTAAAAACAGCTGTTTTCCTGTTTTTCTAGAATTCAAAATAATCTGAGTTATCCTAAGTGTTTCTCTAAGATAATGAAACTTTTTGGTGGTTATAAGCAGTTAAGCATACATTGTAGAGCTAAGCATTATTATTTCTTAATATTTCGTTAATTAACTCTATAAAAAAATATTTATACTTTTAAGAAACATTGCAAAAGTTCCATAAACTCTAATATTTTATTTGAAATATTCAAAAAAAATCTTTCTGAACAAAAAAATATCTTGCAAAATTGTTGATTATATTTTTGAACTTTAGTAAATGCTACAAAAGGTTCAACAAATTTAAAATTTCGAATGCAAAATTAGTAATGATTAATCATAAATTTGATAATGATTTCAAACCTATTAAACATTCAAAAAAATTTAAAATAGTAAATACATTTCAATTTGGAATTCTGGAAACTATATTAAGTTCTTCAAAAAGTTAAGAAATTTTTTTCTGTAAATTATATGTTAAAATGAAAAACAGGAAACAGATCTGTTTTTGAGACCTGTTTTCTATTTGAGACCTGTTTAAGAGAGCCGAAGTTTGAAATTCAAATTTCAGACAAATAATTTTTGGACAGTCCAAAAAATCAAGCCTCTATCTTCTTAAATCATATCATAAGGGGTTACCATAACATGACCGACTTTTTATTGAATGTCCCACAAATATTTTTCATAACAAAGCGCTATATTTATTCGAAAAATTCATTAACCTTCCAACACAAATTTGTTCATGCAAATTGATTTCGTGAAGTAATGACGTTTCCATATAATCGTCTAAAAGCTACTGATTATGCCTTAAATAGAAATAAAATGAGAAATGTATTTTAACAACTGTTCATGACGAAATAATGTGAAGGCATGAGTTATGAAGAAGAAGAAGAAACGAGAAAATGAGTAGAAAATTATTTAAATGACTGCCGCTAGGCTCTGTGTACATTTACCTTTATAATTCTCGGTGTTTAAGAGACGAAGGAAACAAATGGCAAGGTAGAATTGCAATTTGAATCCTTTAAGCCACTCGTTATGATCATTTTCAGCCTCAACAAACTCTCAATTGGTGGGGAGAGTGGAAAAGGTAATAAATATTTGCAAAGTGGATTTATTAAAGGCGTTTATGGTGACAACTCAAGGAAGTTAAAGGATTGCTAGTTGGATTTTGAGATTTTAAGAAGGAACAATTTTAAATTGTGTTATTTATAATAATTTTTTAAAAAACAGTTTGAATAATCCAAGGTCAATAATGTTCGATACATTTTCCTCCACTTCAAAAAGTTTTCTGCATTTTATTCTTCATTTGATCATCAAAATTCTCAAAATTCTTGACTGTTCCACTTTAAAAAGTGGCAATGAAAGTTTGCAATAGTCTTTGTACTTATTATTAATCTGAAAAGTATGTAAAAAGGAGTTTATTTAATAAAAATATCTTGTTCAAACTGTAAAACCAAACTGAAGCCATCACTTTAACCATCTTTTGTCCAAAAACCGCTAAAATAGCGAGACATGCGAAAACTGAAGAGGTAAAATAGAGATAAATCACGATAATTGTTGACATTTCTTCCATTCACAATTTCTTTTTTTCCTTCCTTCATATCTCGCTTTCAGTTTACTTCGGTAAATAATTAGAGGCAGAGTCTGAAGTGCTCATCCACTCGACTCTGTGAAGATGAAATAGAGAAATGACTACTCATAGAAAACAACTAGTGTATCGGGTAGAAACCCAATGCGGATATATTCACACCGTACCATCAAAAGTCTTATGGATAGACCAAGATTTGCTCAGCATAAGTTTGAAGGATGAGCGTGAAGTACGGCCGAGACCCATATCGACACAGTTCAAAAGTTAAACCTAATTTATGTTATAATTATGTCAGCTACAAAAACACTTAGTTTGAAGTTTGTCACCCTCGGGAACACTATGAACCAGTATAGCTGATTTTGGTCCAAATCACGGCCATACTTCACACTTATTTGAACCACATTTTCTCGTAAATGTTAAAATATTATTAAAAAGTAATTAATCCTGAATTATGTCGCTATTTTTTCACGTGTTTTAAGATGAAGAATTTAGTTTTTGGTTTCCACAGTGAAGAGTATAAACAAAATTCAGATGGGATAGTCGAAATTTTAGATTTCGTTTTTTTTTTAAGCTATGCATTACAAAAAGTAATATTGGTATGTGATTTATGTCAGAATTATGTCTATTCATATAAAACATCTTAAAATTTTTTTGAGCAAAGAACCAAGAAGGAAATACATTTTCAATTTTGGACTAGGGACGACCCTAGTCAAGATCAATTTTGTCACTTTTTTCTTCGAGGGTTTATCCAACTGGATTGAAACTTTGCACAAATATTTTAATGCTTTAAACAAATAAAAATAAAATATCCTAAAATTTTTTTGAGCAAAGAACCAAGTAGGAAATACATTTTCAATTTTGGACTAGGGGCGACCCTAGTCAAAATCAATTTTGTCACTTTTTTCTTCGAGGGTTTATGCAAATGGATTGAAACTTTGCACAAATATTTTAGTGCTTAAAACAAATACAAATAAAACATCCTAAAATTTTTTTGAGCAAAGAACCAAGAAGGAAATACAATTTCAATTTTGGACTAGGGGTGACCCTAGTCAAAATCAATTTTGTCACTTTTTTCTTCGAGGGTTTATCCAAATGGATTGAAACTTTGCATTAATATTCTGGTGCTTTAAAAAAATAAAAATAAAATATCCTAAAATTTTTTTGAGCAAAGAAACAAGAAGGAAATACATTTTCAATTTTGGACTAGGGGCGACCCTAGTCAAAATCAATTTTGTCACTTTTTTCTTCGAGGGTTTATCCAAATGGATTGAAACTTTGCATAAATATTCAAGTGCTGAAAACAATTACAAATAAAACATCTTAAAATTTTTTTGAGCAAAGAACCAAGTAGGAAATACATTTTCAATTTGGACTAGAGGCGACCCTAGTCAAAATTAATTTTGTCACTTTTTTCTTCGAGGGTTTATCCAAATGGATTGAAACTTTGCATAAATATTTCAGTGCTTAATACAAATACAAATAAAACATCCTTAAAATTTTTTGAGCAAAGAACCAAGTAGGAAATACATTTTCAATTTTGGACTAGGTGCGAACCTAGTCAAAATCAATTTTGTCACTTTTTTCTTCGAGGGTTTATCCAAATGGATTGAAACTTTGCATAAATATTCAAGTGCTTAAAACAAATACAAATAAAACATCTTAAAATTTTTTTGAGCAAAGAACCAAGTAGGAAATACATTTTCAATTTTGGACTAGGGGCGAACCTAGTCAAAATCAATTTTGTCACTTTTTTCCTCGAGGGTTTATCCAAATAGATTGAAACTTTGCATAAATATTCAAGTGCTTAAAACAAATACAAATAAAGTTTTTTTTTTTCATTGAAAGTTTAATTTAAAAAAAAATCACAGTGAACTTTTAATTTGAAAAATTCGTAAGAAAGGAAAGTATTTTGCTTTTTCTGAAGCAACGGCTGTTCCTACCTTGCCTAAAAACAATACAGCTCTTCTATAGAGTAGCACGGATCAAATGTAAAAAACTAGAAGTCTCTACAATGTCTCGTTATTGAGATTTCTTGCTGATTAACTTGCTTGTTTGCTTGCTTACAGAAAGCATATTTTGCGATTTTCTCAGCAATGCCCCAACCAATTTGCAATCTGTTTTTTTGCAAAAGATGTGAAATTCAAGGCACAAACTCTTCATCTCTGAACATTTTAAGCTATCTTGCTCCATATCCTCACAAAATTCAAAAAACTGATTTTTCAATCTGAACAAAAACAAAACATTCACACGTGAAAACGGTGTGAATATAAAAATAAACATAAGGACGTAAACGAACACGTTTATTGAATTAAGTCTGAAATAAAGTCTTTGTTTTATAAGCCAAAAGAAAGAAGTGGATTTAGGCAGTAATGGAATCTACTTATGGAAAAACGCATTTCGATATTCATTCTCTTTCCTTCGATTTTCCTCATAACATTCAATTTCAATTAATTTCATACACAAACCATTGAACCGAAATGTTGTGTTGCTGAATGACAGGAAAATAATTCAATTTTTATTTGTTTTGATTTTTTATTTATTTTTTAACTGGTGTTTTTGAATCTTGTTTCGAAACACAATAAAACTGAGGCATGTTGAAAAGGTTTTGTTCATAAACTTCAAATTGTTAAAATTTTAAAAGTTCTTAAAAGTTTGAACTGATTCTTGAAGATTTTGAATTGAAATTAATCAAATTAATCATTTTTCTATCTGATAAAGTCCCTCAAACCACATAAAAGAGCATTTTTGAAGCTTCAAAATATCAAAAGTATATTTGACATTGTAAATAAGTTGTGGAATCAATGACAACGATCACAAATCCAATAAGAACGAATATTTTGAGCTACAAAAAAAGGGAAACAGGCACTGAATGTAAGACAAATTTACAAAGAACATCTCATGATGACTATTTAAGACATAAAGGAAGGAAAAATGTACGAGGAAGAAGGGATTTTGTGGGATGATTTTCACCCTCCGTATATGAATTTGCACCACATTTACAGCTACTGTGTAAATACACCGCACACACACAAATATATCCAATCACCCTGCGTCTCCTCACAAATCCCTCATTCCTTCTAACCTCTTTTTATTCAATTTTACCATCCACGGGAAGGATGTGTATTGGAAGGAAAATCAAAGTCGCATTTGCGCACAAACGTATTTTGTTGATGTTACTTGAAAAAATCTTTTCTATTGCATGGGAAAAATCGATTGGCATAGAAAAAAAAAGAAAATCTGAAAGAAAGGATGTGAAGGGAAAGAAATGGTTTTCGCAACTTCCAGTCATTCGCATTCGAGATTTTCATCAAAATCGTTCGATGGAGTGCGCGTAATATTAAAAATTTAAATTTTTTGCTTTTTTCTATCAATAAACTGAACAGAAATTATTTTTTGCTGATAATTAGGGATTGTAGGCGCTATCATAAGGGATATAAACCTAGTGTCTTATGTGCAAATACTGAAATTCTGTGCAATATGAATTAAAAATAGTAGAAAATAAAGAATCGAGAGTGGAACGAAAGGTCACCTAGTTGTGTGTGGATATCCAAAAAAATAAGAATATAAAAAGTTACGTAATAAGTTCAATAGCAAAATAAATGGAATTAAGTAACATTGGGCTACTGTCCGACTCTAAAAATAGATTAACTCAATAAAAATAAATTTGCAGTGCGCAAAAAAGTGCTGTAAAGAAGAAGAAGAAGGAAAATAGAGAAAAAAATAATTTTTTAACTCTGTGAAAGTCGAAAGGAGTGTACCGCAGAAGTGGAATAAATTAAGTCGTCATCGCTACGAGTGAAAAATAGTGTATAAAATATATATATATTTATATATTGTAGCATAAAAAAGAGGACACATTAAAAATGGGCACAGTATTAAGTTTCAGTCCAAGGGAGAGTCATCCAATTTATTCGACCCATCATCGTGGCAGTGGAACGATGTCAACGTCGAGTTCAGCTGACTTTTCGCTCAATAATTATGCATATGAGCAGATGAACAATGTCAAGAATCGGGAAAATTGTACGAAAACTAGCATAATAAGTAATAATAATGGAAGTAGTCTAGTTCTATTTGGATCAACAAACTCAAATATTATGAATAATAATCTCACAACAACCACAAATGGCACATCGATGGAAGAACGTCAGTCTGATAGTGCGCGAATATTGTCGGAAAAGAATGCGATCGAGAAGAATCTGAAGAAGCATTCGTTGTTCATAAATGCACTATCGTGGAAGCGATTGTCGGCGTCACACGGCAAGAAAAAGTTGGAAAACTATAATACAAAGAATAAGTCAGCGAATCTTACAACAAGTTCATTTCGTCCTCCTTCTCTTACCGATACCGTACATCCGATGGTTGTCGCAAATGAAAAAAATAAAAATTATCAACAGCAACAGATACAATTTGCGAGCAATAACAATCTAAATCTCAATAATAATAATAATATTAATAATAATAATAATTTGAATATTAATCATCACATTCATAAAGATTCTCAATCAAACATTTACTTCTCGCCTGGGCCAAAGAGTCTTCTTGCCCTGGATCTTCAAAACTCTGCCAATAATGCCAATTTGCAGCATCATCAAAATATCGAAAAATTGGGACCAAAGATTCCAATACAGCTGCCATTATCACTGCAATCCAACGTGATGCATTCACAATCAATGCAGCCGCAACAGCAACAACAAATGCATTTTCGTCCGGGACCGAGGAAAACAATTATTCAGGTCAGTGTGAAAAAACTTTTTTTTTGCTTTGTTCTCATTATGCTCGACATTTTTTTTTTGTTGTTGAAGTAATTTCCTGAATGGAAATATATGGAAAAAAAATTGTAAAGTGGAACAAAACGATATTTGAGGATTTTATGCTAACGACCGATTTGTATTCAAAAATTAACAGTCATTTTCTATTTAAGAACATTCGGTCATTTTGGTTTGTTTAAAAAATACAATTCAGAGATTAACGACCAAATTACCATTAATTTACGCATTACACAATCTCTTATCTAGTGCTTCTTGTCTGAAATTCGTATGCGTACGTGATGTGAATTCCATTTGTCTCATAAGCCACAAAAAATTGGACTTTTTAATCGTTTCTATTTGTGTTGTATTATTTAAATGAGGCAAGCATTCCCACGCGAAAAATTATTCGTGGTGCTTATCTCATGTTCATTATGTTGTATAAGCCATTATCCACAAAAAACAGTCCTATCAAATAACATCATCTCGCTTGTCCAAGCGAAACGCTTAAACTAATTATAGATATTTTTTTCTTGTACAGGACATTTTCAATTGTAAATTGATAATGCTGAAATATTAAACGATTTATGAATGAATAACATTCGAACGAATGTTTATAATTAAACTGCAGTAAAAGGCTCAATTCTATTTCATTTGAAAAACCACATACGGCTCATAGAATTGCAAATTGAGTTTTATATTTATAGACACAGCCTCGAAATCATTCTATTTTCTTGCTCATGCAATCGTTACAGCCAAAACCACGAAAGGAAACAACAAATGAGTTTCACGAAAGTTTTGAACTTTTAAGTTTTTAAAATAGCTTCATAAAATTTATGAATGTGGTTACAAGCAAGTAAACATGATGTTGATATCAAAATAGAACAAATGTGTCTTATCAGCATCGACATTTTGCGTCATAGCTATATGAGAACTTCTTGTGTGTTTATTTATGATACAGATCTTGAGATTATTCAGTTATGGAGGGAAAAAAATCAGTGACGCGAAAAATTAAAATTACCATTTTGACTTACGTCAGCTTATGCTTATAATTTTGGGTTTTTTAAATTTGGAATAAGCAATCATTAATGATTGGCATAGACAGCTTCAATTAAATTTGGATGATTCAATAGAAATTTTAATACTGTCAATGCTGATTTTGGGTTTTAAGTTGCAAACCTCAAAATTTGAAGCAAACATGAAGCAAACAGAAGATTTAAAATTCAGGAACCTGCCAAAATTGATGCAGAATTCAAAAAAGATGCGAATTTCCAATTTAATGCAAAAGCTTTATAATCCTAGCTTTATATAAAATAAAAGTTTAAAATTCACAAAAATAATCAAATAATTTTTCAAAATTAATTGCAAAACCCATTCATACATGAAAAATTCATTTCATAGATCTGCATGAGATTAAATTACAGTTGTTTAAATTATAAATTTTGATATCTGACTGGAAATTTTGTTGTTTAATTAATTTGCTATGTTTACAAAAAAAAGTTTTTGCAATTTTCATTAAATTGAGCATTTTTAACCATTCAGACTAAGCTTAAATGTGAAAATAAATTTCAATTATCATAAAAATGTTCATGAGAACAGTCAATTAATTATGCTGATTACATAAAATAATAATCATACAACCATACTAAATATGAACATGATAAATATTAAGTGCTTATGTTATTTCATGCTAGTTCAATCGAAATTGCAAAATGTTTGCGTTATTAAAATATTATAATTGACCTAAATTTACTATCTCGACTATCTCAATGCTATTTTCAAGAGATTTTTCATTTTCCACTGCAATTATTTAGTCTCGTGTTGTTGTTTACAAGGCAGTCAAGTAGTTCTTCCTTGAAATACTTCAAAGTAATTTAAATTATTTTCTAGTCATGAATAATATTGAATACAAATTGCTTGGATTATTTATGAATATTTTCATGCTTTGGTACAAATTCGATTTTCTTAAATCTTTATCGTTGGATAAATATATAGAAACCGAGAATTGCTAAAACTGAAAATTGTGGATTTTGATCCAAAATCATTCAATATTTTTGAATCAACTGATTCTGGGATCTAATAACAGGAAGCTGCTGCGTCTTAAACATAAAATGCTTTGCCAGTTTGTCCTAGAATATGTCTAGAAAACCTTTGATAAATCGATATTAAATGAGAAAATTTTGAACATATGTAATTTTATTCAGCATATCCTACCTCCGTTGTTGATGAAGATGCATGTTCATTTTTATGATAACATGCACAGTAATAAACGTTTATGGAACGCTTCATTCATATCATTTTACTATTTACATAAGAACTCATGTTAATAAATTCATCTTATCAAAACTTTTGCCATAAAAGTAGGTTAACGAATATCATATATCCTGGTTTGTAAATAAATCTTGCAATTATACTTTTAATATGAATTTATAATTGACTGAATTATTAAGTACAAAAAATATTTCAATCAAAACTCATCTTTCACGATTCACTAAGATAATCAGCTCAATAATTAAAGAACAACATCCAAAGAAGCTCAACAAGATGAAAACTATTCACAATTTTAAATGTTTTACTGTAGGGATAAAAAAATATTCAAATTAAATTGACACATAAAATACTTTTCAATTCGTCAATTATAATTGATAGGAATTTAATTCAACATTTTTTTTGGCTGCATCATGATAAATTGGAATTAAATTGGAGCATTCTGTCATCGTAATTGAATATTCAAATATTTGATGAGTTCGAACGAATTAAAATAATAATAATTGAGAAGTAATATTTGGGGCAATTTACTGTCAATCCTTAAAGTAAAATTGGTATGAAAATCTTCTTTTATTTCCACCTGTTTAGTCTTTGATAAAATCTTGAGATCTGATGAGACAGATGTAAAATTGAAAGTCAAACGAATCTTCATGTCATTTCCACATTTTCCAACCTTATAAATCTGATAAAAAGTAATTCATCCATTATAAAGAAGAGAAAAAGAAATTCCAATAAATTGTCTTACTTTTCGCATGCTGTCATAATGTAACAAATCATCAATATCAGCACAGCAGCATATCACTCCATCCTCTTTTATCTTTTTTTTTATATTTTCCCTTCAAAAAAGAAACGATGAATGTCTGCAAATGGCTTCCGATTTTCAATTGATTTGATTCCTGTACTCGCAATAAGAAAAATGTAAATAGTATTTGTGAAAATTGAAAACAAATTTACAAATTCGAGAAAAGAAAAGTTTTTCCTTCTTTATCTCTAAAAATTTGTTACACTTCATGCTTGCTGTTAAAAGAAAGGGAAACAAAGGAATTTTTCATACTTAATATTCGCTCTCTTTGTTTTCATTTAGTTTTTCTTCTTCTGAACAACTTTTTCATTGCGCATGTCCCATTGTGGCATTAAAGTCCTCACGGTATTCAAACGGTTTTTTGACGGTTTTACGATAGAAGGAATTTTACTCCTTAAAAATAAATGAAAACTGAAGAAATTTGAAAAATGTTTTGAAATTTTTTTGTTTATAAATTTTTTATCCCATTTTTGCATTCACAAGTGCCTTTATAAGCTCGATATGTTCATAATATAAAGGATATTGAAAATATGTCGGATAAAATATTAAATAAATTTAGTGGCTGAATGGAAAACTTGAATTGAATTTTCTGGATGTTTTCCAAATGCTTTAAAGGAATTTGGAGCAGTTTTTATTAAAGAATGCTGTCTTGTGTTGATTTTTTTAGATTACATCTTTAAGAGTTGAATGTTAATAAAGATTGCCGGCAGTAAGACTGAAGTTGAGTTTGATCTAGATTCCTTTGGTGAATATAACTAGACCATGGACTAGCTTACGTAATGCATTAACTTTTATTAGATCTTGAATGGTTTTTTGATTCAGGAACGACGAATGAGAATGTCAAACAATGTCTGCCTCTCTCAGCTTCAGAAAATGTTCAAAATTTGAGTTTGTTTAAAGTCTATTCATGTTCTGTGCTAGATAAAGACTAGAAACTTACTCTCTTATCGTCTAACTCTTTTCTTCCAGATATAAATGCGTTTTAGTCAATTCACAAAATTTCTCAAGCGAATTCCCACTTTTCTGTTGCGTAGACAAACTTTCCGTACACCCATAACGTACATATCCACAATATCCAGCACATACACATAAAAAATGTTGTGTCAATAAATTTTTATGTACAAAAAAATACGTAAAAGAAATTCCTGTGTCGCTTTTATTAGAAGACATTAGCACAGTGAAAATAAAACTTAAGTTGAAACTTGTCGACATGAGCAGGTTTGCAAAAGTTTGAGCACAGCAGAAAAAAAATACAGAAACTGACGTGAATTTACATAAAACGGAAGGAAGAGAACGCTTACGCTCGCTCGGGACTCATTTCTATAAATATTGAGCCATCAAACTTTATTTTGTGTTTTTCCTTTTCCTTTTCCATGTTCCGAAGACGTTGAAGCGTAAGTTCTGTTGACAACTGACTTTTATTTCGTCTTCATCTTTTTGCTCCGTTTGTCATTTATAAAAAGATTCACTTGACATTTGTCTATAAAGTCGTTACTGTTTGTTTTACTCATTTCTTCATCTTCTTCTTTTAGCTATTTTTCAATCGATTTGTATTGTTTATATATATTTACATAAATTGTGCATAGCACAGATGGAATGAAAGCTATTGTGATTGTTTTATGGAGGAAGTCGAGGCTTGTGGGAATTGTTATAGGAAATAGTGAAAGGAAAAGTAAAGCTTTGTATTCATGTAAGGGTTTTGTTGTAATGTTGAAGGTTACTTTCATTTTATATTGAATGGAAATAGAATTATTAATGGCTATCAATACTCGGGGAACACTAATAAACTTTATCATGGAGTAAAGTATCCTTATGCTCTGAAATTGCCCTTGGGTTTCCTAAATGTAATACAGAAAGGATTCTGTGGCTGACTGTTAGAGCAGCTTGCAGAAAATGACTTAAATTCGATTTTTCATTGATTTTCCATAAATTCTTGATTTGTATCAGCCATAATCCACTCACAACAATAATCCACCTCTGGAAAACAACGACCCGTCTACCCGTAATAAATAAATAAATATTCATCTTTACATGAGCCATAAACTCATTCATTATCAATGAATGACAATTGACGTGAAATGTAAACAGGGAAAAAGAAGGAATGAGAAGAAAAACAACTTAACCTCGTCTTTTTAAGTCACTGTAATAGAGTAAATATTTGATAAGAAGAGAAAGCATTAAGCCTTTCTTGTTCTCTCTTTTTATATCTGTCTATATGATAACACAAGCTTGAAACTTGCTTACTTCATTTGAATAAAAATCCATTTCTTGAATTTTTCATGTCGAGGAAAATCGAATGTTTTTTTTTTCTTGTTGGTTTTTCCAATTTTCTATTTTTGGATGGATATTTTTGAATGAATAGGGATACTTCGTTTGGAAAGCTGATGGACATTTTAGAATGGAATTGAAGATGGCTAGATTATTAATTGATGGTGATTTGAACTTAACATAATTAAGTTTTAAGCAAATTTTAATTCATCGAGAATCAATAATCTTTCAATTTTACTTTTAAATTGAACATTAGTAAACAAATCCTTTCGAAATTTCCAAATCCACCTCCATCAATTTTATCTAATAGATTCAAAAAATAATTGAAATTTTCTTTCTTTTCACTTCCAATATTTCTGACTCTAAAATTCAATGACTTTTGATTGAAGCTTATTGACGTTTTTAATTTGAAATTTTTTTTAATTTTATCTACAGAACCATTTAGATTTTTTTGTGATTCTAATAAAGCATTGAAGCTCAATTTAACCTTTTGAAAAAGAAATTTTCAGCGTATTGCTGATATTCAATATTTTAAGATTCTGTTGAAAACCTACAAGATTTTCTATAAATTGCTATCAAAATATTTTATTTATATTAAGTACATCTTACACCTCCGGTACTTTTAACTTCCTCTGAAGTTTACAACAGTATTTCGTTCTATTGAATATTTATTTGAGTTTATTTTTATACTTTTGAAATAATACCTCGCAGAGAAATAGATGAAAACATTGGAAATGAAATGATTGAATGAGATTTTCTATTGTTTTTGTTTCGAATAAAAATTTGAAAAGAACTTAAAATGTTTATGTTTAAAATCGATATTTTAAGTGTTGATTGAAATAATTTGAAAGTAAAATTAGATCTTGAACTTTGATTGTAGACAAATTTGTTGACTAGAAATTTATTAAAACATTCGAATGGGAACTTTTCACAGTCTATGATTCACAAATGTGAGACTTTTAAATATTGCAAGAATAATTTTGATTCAAACCACATTTAAATTCAGCATCTGCCACTTTCCCACCAAAAAAATATAGAAAACACATTCCCTTATATACTCATACGAGACATCTCACTCTGCACACATCCATTAAATTTCCCATACTTAAGAAAAATATCAACAAAACAGCAATAAAGCACTTCTCATAAATTATATAAAATTTTATGTGAAAATTAAAACACATAACTCATAAAATGTATAATATTTAAAATCCTTTTAATTCTATGAGAAAATAAGCTTCGTCATGCATAAGACCAAAAAAAACTATCTTACAATATTTGCTTAAGGCATTTTGTTATTAAAAGTCATGTACATGTAGCAATGTTCTTACAATGCCTGAGAAATGTTTTTATCTTTATCATTCCTTGAATCTTATTCTCCTTCAAATTCCTTGCGGAAGGTTCATATTTATAAAAAAAAAAATAAGGCAGAAAAGAAAAGTCTCATGTCTGCCGCAATACAATATCAAGGAAGGAAAGAAAATTTATCTTTTGTTTTGCGCATAACTTTAAAAACCACATTTCCACTCCCAGCTCCCTTTATTCCTTGTTAGCCACAAAATTTATGACTTTGTTTGTTTTCTTATGAATGAAAGAATAAAGTAAAGAAGAAGAAAAATGGAATTGGAAAATGATTATGATGTTCATTCTTTTAGCGCAATTTTAGGATTCTTTAGTTTCAGATTTGTTTAAATTACTAGCTTTGAATTATTTTTCTGAAATTACTCAGATTCTGACTTAAATTGTTGTCTATAAACAAGTGCTTTTAAGCGTTTTGACTCCAAGTGTAGTAAATCAAGTTTTTGACAACCTACAATTTCTATTATATGCCTTTGTACAATGTTAAGATTCTCTGTACTTTTAACACAATTATTAAAATTCTCATAAAGCTTTACTTATACGTTCGTATGTGTTTTGACCAAGAAAACTGAAAGTAACAAATAAAGACGATTTTAAACATCAAAATACAAAAATCCATCAAACAAAACCGCGCTCATACCAAAAAATCAAAAATAATTTATTTGAATTCAATTTGAACTTTCATTCATCTGCGATTTTCTCATAAATTATTCAGCTACCATAAAGCGATTATTCTATGCATGTAAGTTTGCTCCATATAGTTTATCATCTACACATTATCTTTCCTAGATATGTTTACTGTATGCTTTAGAAAATACAACATCGAGAAAACTTTTATTCAGATTAAAGACCACAAAAAAATATATTTTTTAAAACGAAGAAAACAAACATGAATGTTTGGATGAATGTCTTGAGGCTTTATGATTAATAGAAGAAAAATTCATCTTCTGCATGAGTTCAACAGAAATTGAAATATAAGACAGAGAAAAAAGAAAAGTTTTGCAATATTCTTATGTTTGAAATTTTAAAAATATTAATATTTTGATATGAAAATCGCAGATGAAAAAAAAATCTCAATTTTTTAGCATTACCCTAGCAACATAAACATAATCTTCTGCACGAGTGTATTATGATTTGAGAACGAGGAAGTTTGGAGAACTCATAGAATATTTAAATATGGAAATTCTTCTGGATTTAGTTGACTTTTAGCTGAAATAAAATTGTGGAAAATTGAAAGCTAGTGAAAAAGAGTGAACAAGTTTAGGGTGAAGTTATCGAGTTATTTGAGGATATGGCGCATTTTGTAGTTATTCGTTGAGTTGCGATGTTCAAAGATGTGTTCAAAAACTTCCTAATGCTTCAAAACAACATTTCATCCAAAAACATAACTTCAAAACATCCACAAACCTTCAATGCACAGCTGAGCATCTGACGATAAAATAATTGACCTGAATAGACAGACACAATGCAAAAACCACAAAGCATTTTCCTTCTATAAGCCACAAAACCAACCAAAAGCTGTTAAAAGCTGCATTTCATATTATGCAAATTTCCTTGTCAGATGCAATTCTGAGTCTTTAGAAACATTCATTATCTGAATTTCAAATGAATACTCAGCATTCCTAAAACTTTTTCATCAGCTTTAATTTTTAAACCCCCTCAAAAAATGAAGAGAATTAATTTAAATAGTTTTTAAAACACATAAAATTGAGCATAAAAGAGGAACAGCAAAAAAAAATCAAACTTTGCAGCCGCGGTTTTGATAAAACATGTTCGCATTGAAGCCTCGCATGAATAAAAACCACTTCACATAAACCAAAGAACTCTTTCAACAACTTTTTTTGGTCTGAATTTATGGAACAAATGTGCTTTTAAATTTGTTTTGGCATGTTGGTTAGCATTGGTTATGACTATCAGGATGTAGTATCAGATATTGTGAATTTTAAAGTTGTTCTGCTCAACAGGAATGGCTGTTGATGTGAAAAATGAGGACATCATTTTAATTGATGTGGTTTTTAAACACAAAAGCAATGAATATGCTCAAAATTGTTCGATCTTGTACCAATATTGTATTATAATGATAAATCTTAAGTTGGTCGTTGTTTAAACGACTTATTTGAGTAATGAGAGTCGTTTTTAAGTGAAATTAATATTAATTACATATTGTGCTTTAGAAAGATGCCAAAAATCCTCACAAACTCAATTGATTGCAATAATTTCCACTATTTTGCGCTTATTTCCTCAACATTACAATTGTATTCAACTTTTACAGAGAGCCAACATCAAAACAAAATCTCTTAAAGCCACAAAATATAATTTTTCATTTCTTTTTTTTTCAATTCAGGCATCAACATCCGAGCTTTTGAAGTGTTTTGGAATTTTCCTGAGAGAGCGCTGCCATAAACTAAGAGACTTTCAAGCCGGTGATGCTATTATGTGGTTGCGAGCAGTTGATAGAAGCCTTTTACTACAAGGATGGCAGGTATGTTAATTAGGAAAATGAAAAAAAAAATGTTTAAATTCCTCATCAAAATTAAAAGCCAATTCAGTGTGGATGGAAGAAAAAAATTCTGCTGTTGAATTTGCAAATAAAAAGTTGTTCTATGCTGATGAGTATAGAATCTCATCGCCATCATTGTGGAACGTGTCAAATTGAATATTTTCTCTTTTTGTTGAAGTAAAAAGTTAAAATAAAAAAAATAGCATCCAACAATAATTAGATTAGATGTTGATAACTTACTTCCATGGAGTTTCTATTGAAAAAACAAAGTTTCTTCTTGGAAAGTTTGTCTGAGCATATGAAACTGCTAATTATCTTCTTGTCGTGTTGCCTCGTGAACATGAAAAAAAGTTTATTTAGATAGAAAGCAGTTCCTTGAAATAATAATGAATAGCGTGTCTTTTGCTGATCATATGCTCATGAATTTGTATTTATTTCTAGTTGGAGCTTCAAAGCATGGCAACTTTTTCAATGTTATAATTTTTTTTTTGAATTTTTATGACCTTGTTTTGGGGCATTTGTGTTTATTATGGTAAATATCATTTTAATCATGTAAATAATAGATTAATTGTGACCTAGTTTTGAAGTTGTTGAAAAGTATTAATTGAGAAGCATGCGTAAGCTTATATAAGATAAAAATTTTATCATTAACATTATGAATATAAAAATACCAAAATGGACCAATTATCATTATCAGAACGCCGTAGTTTGAGCTTCATCAAGTCAATCCTGCAAGCCAAAGTAAAAACTAATCTTAAAGCCAAAAATCAAGCTCTTCTGATTCTTAAAGTCGACCAAAAATGTAAAATAGACAACTCTCAATAAAAACACAATCCTCTATCGGGTGCAATTGTATAAATAGACCAAGCTCCACATTAAATCCACTCAAATCCTAAACAAGAATAGAATCTAAACCAACAGTCATGAAAATCATCCAAAGATCCCATTAAATTAATGCCAATTTATATGCATTGACCATAAAACTAATAACAACACCAATTTAGACCTTCCAAAATCATAAACCTTTCCAGAATATCCACAAGAAAAGTTTAATTCAACCAATTCAAAGAAATGTACAAAACATCATCATTGTCCATCCGAAAAAATTACGAAAGAAAAATCTCATCTCGATTTACAAAACTATTCATGTTTAGCTCACACTTTACACTTGTTATTTCATTTTCTATCTCACTCTCTTTGTGAATAGCTTAGTGTCTGACCTCCCTTCCTTTACCATTCTTTATCCAATCATTACACAACAGAAGAAAAAAAATTCAGTTTCATGCTTTTTTTTTCATCATGCACATGTAAGCAAAAAAAAACATATCGAGAGGCAGATTTTTGTATAAAAAATCATTTCACGTTTCATTATTATTTCGATCCATAGGCAAAGAGGGACGATTATGTTTGTAGGGGATGAATATACATAATAGAAATAAAAACGTACAATCCCCGGGGCAGTAGCATGAACTAACGGGAAATTCAATTGGAAAAGTTTTAATTGCAACTCGACGCAAATTGAGATAAAAATGTACGTAGACTGAGTGGGAGAATTTGAAGGGAGATAAAGGTAGGGATGACTAAATTAATGAGAATGTAAGTGAATTGAACGCATTCTTCACATTGTGTCTCTTGAAATGATACAAAAGTGTCAAATAGACTCATGAGATTGCTGATCACGCAATTCTGAGCTAGATGAAGACTCTCAGACTGTTCAATTTTATCCACATCATAGATTTTAGACTAAAAATAAATTGCCAGAGCTGAGACATGCTGAAATTTCTATCTGACTGACTTTAAATGGCGATGACTCTTGTATTGATCCATCAAAAATAAATTTTAACAATTTTCAATGAAGTATGAAGTCATAAGACGTAAAAATAGCATAAAGATAAAGCCCAAACTGTCCAAAATCACATTCAATGTATCAAATTTTCCAACATTAACCATTTTAAATCTGTATGATGTGAAAAGTGAGAATGAAAAATATCCGAAAAATGAGAATGAATAAGTGAATAATTTGAAATAGTTTGCAATTCATGTCCAGTAAAGCATGTATGTATTATATTTTTAATAAGCAGAATTTTTCAGTCTGCTCTCCCCCCAATGTACATGATAATTTTGCACAAATGGCAACGGGGGGTCGTTGAATCCATTAGGGAATTAAAGTTCTATTTGATGTGATTCGACAGATTTAAAATTGGTAAAATTCATTTTGAAATACTTGTGATGCTGTGAGCTACGTGATTAATGTTTAAAGTCTTTTATCGTGCCTCAAATTTCGTTTTTTAAACTTTGGCATTTAAAAAAATTTATGTTTGAAATGTCAGACTTTGGAGGCGTTTGCACGCACAAACAGATATGCACGACAAAATCTGTTTATCTACGTCTTTTTTTTTTCAATTTCCCTAACATATAAATTCATTCCTAAAGTGACTGATGATGGCAGTTTTATGTTTGTTTTCAACAATAACTCTTTGCAGACTGTATGCTCTTTATTTTCTAGCATTGACTTTTGCAATTTTTTCCAGTAAAAAAACATTGATTGAATGTTTACGATAGAAAAACTTAAATCGCTCAAAGGCTCACAATACGTACGTAAGCATGGCATGACTACAATCAAACAAAAGAGTATAAAGCATTGAGTCAGCAGAAAAAATGTGAATTATATTTCTATTGTAGTTTTTGTACGGTTGGGGGATTAGTTGAGGTGCTTAGTATTGTTTTATGATGGTCATCGATGGTATAAGAATTAATTGACTTGTAACTTTTCTATTCGGGAAGTTTAGAGTATGAATGTTTCTGAGTTGTTGTCTTGCCATTTTTTTCAATAGAAACAAATATGGTTCTTGTTTAAATTCGATTTGGTTTCGGAAATAAATCGTAAAAATATTTTAAGGTGGAATAACTTTTCAATAAATTCAAATTTTTAAAACTGTTAAAAATCAAATTCTAACATTTTAATATTTTTTAAAATAGAAGAAGTCGTCTCTTCCATCTCCAACTGAACTGGCTTTCTCACTACTTTCTCTTTTCCATTGTTTTAACAACGGAAAAAGACGAAAAGAAAAACTTTTTTAAAACAAAAAAGAACAAAAAAAAAGCGAGGATAATTAAATTTTTTTTCTCCTTCCTTCCTTCATCTCTCATTTTTTATTATTTTCCTTTCTCTTTCTGCAAACAGGATGTTGCATTCATCAACCCAGCAAATGTTGTCTTCTTATACATGTTGGTTCGTGATATGGTTGACGGTGAAGAATCATCAGAACAAGAATTGCAAGCATCGGTACTGACATGCTTGTATTTATCTTACTCATATATGGGAAATGAAATTAGTTATCCGTTAAAGCCCTTCCTGGTTGAAGAGTCGAAGGATAAATTTTGGGATCGGTAAGTTAAACTGTCAACATTGGCAATGGATATTAAATTAATCTTTTCTTTTTATTAACATCCAGTTGTCTTCTTCTATTGAATCGTTTGAGTTCGAGTATGCTGCGCATTAATGCCGAACCAGGATTCTTTACTGAAATTTTTACTGAATTGAAAGCCTGTGGCCTCAACAATGGAATTTACAATAGTCCAATTAGTCCAGCATCTCATCATTCAATTGATATTCTCAACAATAATTTCAGCAATATTCACATTAACTCGCCGACGACAGCATTTCGGCCAAATTGTTTCGATAATAATCTTAATCACGAATCGAATCTGCCAATTTCAGGATAACAACATCACCGACAACCGCAACTTATTAATGGGAACTTTAGCAAGTTTGTTTAAGACAATTTTTATTTTCTAGTCACAAAAAAATAAAGAAAATAATAGAGAAAAAAATATAAGAAAGATTTCACTATTGCCATTGTCATAGACATTTCTTATCAAAAGTGTTGATTCTACTTCGATTTATGTGACAGCATGACACATGTGTTGAAGATATCCGATTAAGAAATTGCCACTAAATAAAACTCTTAATGAAATTGAAATGGATTCTCGTTGGTGATACAAAGTTTATATTGAAGGCTGCTGCCTTGGACTGGTGATTTGAGAGGAGCATACAAACTTATTGGAAAAATTAATCGGGGGTATTATGTCAATCTGCAGAAAAGTTTGGCTGAGAAATGTTAAGTAATACGGAAAGTTATGATGACATGTTAGTGGATTATCGTACTTTGACCTTTTCTGAATAGAAACTGATGTGTTACGCAGGTTGTTAAGCTTGATGATGTTCACTGAACGATAAATGACAATTCGTAATAAGTTGACTCTTAAAAAGTTCTCAGTTGTCCCGAAACATCTCCAAAACATTAGAAATGTACATCATATTCCAAAAAACCCAAAAGTTTCAGGTTGATCAATCATTATCTGACCATATACATTTAAATCCTAAACAGGAACCATCCAAAAATCAAGAATATTCCAAATCAACGAATTCCACTCACTATACTCCCAATTAAGCCACCAGTAAGCAGCAGTCAATAATTTTGTATCACCCCAAGTCATAGAAATGTAAAATCACCAACACACATTTAAAAAAAATTGTCTCAAGTCCACTCAAGTAATAAGATTAAAGCAAACATGCTGAACGGAATAAAAAAGAATTGATTGAAAAAAAATCAAATTTTTAAATTTAATTAAATTAATGAAATTAAGAATGATATTGTTGATATTCAATTTAAAATTGATTTGCAAAAAAAAAGAATAAATTATAAATTAAATAAATTAAATGAAAATAATACGTGAGGTGAGTCTCAAAAAAAGTAAATGATAAAAAAATATTATGTAATATTAATAAAGGATTAAATTCATTCATCTTATCACAATTCTCACTTTTCAAAATTGAATATATTCCCCTCTCATCCCCTCCCATTTGATATGAAAACTTAAATAAAATGGTATTAAGGCTTGGGAAATTTTCAGGGTGTTTTTGAGACTTGTATGATAAAGATTCAGATAAAAAAATGAGTTATTTGTGAGATATTTGTTATATTAATAAACAGGTTGTGTTGGAATTTGTAGATTCAGTAAAATAATTGAGAACTTGATTATCAAATTGAATAAGCCATCTGAATTCAACAAATCAAGCTAAAGTAATTGTGCTGAATTAGGACTGAAGAATTCAGCTGAAGTTGCTAAATTTAACCTGGAACCTCAGCTAATTACTATGAAAAAGTTCACTAAATTCAGCAGACTTATTCAGCACATTCAGCTAAGGATCAGCTAAAACTACAATCAATAAGCTGAACTTAGTTCAATAAGTTCCCCAAACTAGCTGAATTCTTCTCAAATAACACAAACAAACCTCATAGAACTTACAAAAACTCAAAATTCCCAGAAATGCCCTGAATTCTCCAACTCTTGATACTTTTATTAATGAGAATCTATTAAGTAGAAAGTTTTAAAATGAAAAAAAAAGTAGTTGAAGAAAATACAATATTTTTTTCCTCTTAGTTTATGACGGATGAATGCAGCCTTTATTTTAAGGTAGAAAAAAAAATGAAAATAAAATGTTAAGATGAAATAATTTGTATTCACTCTTTTTTATTCGTTCCTTCTTCCCAGATTCCACTTATTATAATTCTTCCCCTTTCATGCATGCAAAAAAAAATTGATAATGGTAGAAAAAAAGTTATCATTTTTTAATAAATTATAAAGGAAATAAATTGCAAATAGAAAAGTCTTCAGCGGCAATAAAAGTTTCAGTTCCAGATAATTTGAAAGGGAAAAAATTTCATTTGCAGAACAATTCAACAAGAATCTTTTTATTTTAATTTTTATGTCATTTTTCATTCGCATTCTTAATTCATATTTCTCATTTCAATGATTCAATTATGAAAATCATTGACACTATTTTTTTGCAATGATATTTTTTGCAGTGCCATTAAGCTATACAATTGTATTCCATTATGATCAAGTCTGACATTTGTAGCATTAAGGTAATTGCTTCAACAATACAATTTTGTATTATTTATACTTGAAGCATTCATAGTTGAATGAGGAACGTAGTGTAGTTTTATGCTCCTCGTGCCCTTCATGCCATTCAAGATGAATAATGTTATCCATAAAGGATGAATGATGCATTTTTATCTACATTAAAAGCAACATTCTATTCATATTCGTTGAATTATTTCCTTAGTGTGAGAAAAAATCTTCAATAGGAGTCTCTCAAACTGGGAAATTGCTGTTTCAATCATTACTTTATAATTTTCAAATTTCAACTATGGAAAAAATTTAAAACAGTTTTTTCATAACCTAAAGTTTTCGCGCCAAAAAAATTCTCCACATGCGATTTTTCTAATCAAATTTCTCATTTTTAATTCATATTCATAAGACAATTCCAACAGAATATTGAAATTCATAGCGGAGCATGAAAAATTATCAAAATCGAAAGCATATTGGAAAATCAAGATCATTACAAAATTCATCGAGATTTTTGATTGGATAAGTAAACATCAAAACATAAAGAAAATTGCATTAGATTGTCAAGTTCAATTCAAATTCAGACATAAAACATCTTATGCAAATAAATGAAATTCAAGAAGCTTCCTCTCAAGGCCAATAAAATCAATAAAATTGATTTCAAACGAACAATTGTCAACCGAACATAAAGAGCGAAACTCGAGAAGAGCAATTGTGCTAAGTGAATGAAAATGACAGAAATCTAATGACTTCCGACTAACGAGAAGCTTTGCTTATATCAGCAATATTGTAAGTTCGTTCTGGTACTCAAATATCAAGTATTATGAGCTTTAATGTCAAAAGTTTCTCGAAGTTGCCTCAGTCAATTGATACTCAGATTACACCTGCATAAAAGTTTATAAATTTGAGACTTTATTATTAAGAAATGGAAATAAGAAGCTCTAAAGACGTAAGGGATTGTTCACTTACTAGGTTAAAATGAAAAAGTTAAGTTTTGTTTTAATAAGAACCACAGTTTTTTATTGTGTTACGTAAAAAGTGAACAAACCCTTAACAAGTTCCTTATTTCATGGTTTTAATTTCATAAAATTTTTAAAGACGATAAAAATTTAAATGTAATTTTTTGCAAATCTCATAAACTCTGCAGCATGATGCTGATAAAATTTAGTTCCGCATTTACCTTGAACTCCTGAAAAAAATCTCATTCAATTTTCTCATCAATAACAGCGTATTCCTTCTTTTCTTGCAACAATACTTAACCCTCATTATTGTATTCCTTTTTCCACTTGATTGTTGATTCTCAATTACACTAGCAAATGGGTATTAAAGCAGATTATGAAAGTTTTATGGTCAATTTGACTATGCTCAGATTTTCTCTCATCAGTTCATGATGCCAATGTGTATTTATAATAAGAAGAATAATCATTTTTCTTTCTCTAAGTGCATTGCTGGGGATGATAACCGATTTGAGAAAGTTTTAGGGATATTGAAGCTTAAGATGCCATTAGCAATTAGTCACTTATGGTCAATTTAGTTCATCTCTGTAATGATCATAAAAGTTTTCGAAAAGAACCTCAAAATTGAGGTTAAGTGTGGTTAAAACCTGCAAAATAAATCAATAAAGTTTTGTACTAAGACCCTCAACTCAACCCTCTCTGATCTCATTAAACTCAGCCGTTCAAGATCATTGTATCCACTCAACTTCATTCATTTCATCCCCTTTTGTCAATTTCCTTTAACTTAAAACAGAAAAGAAAACTTTTTCTCGGATCATAAAAAATAATCTTTTATGAGTTGTTTGCATGCTTACCAAATAAAAAAGTTACTTCTTATGTTGCTTCTTACAATAAATTGTTGATAGGATCTAGAGCGGCACATGCAAGCTGCTGAGGGTAAGAACAAACGGCCTGTTTCACTAAAGTGGATTATCCTCGATTTCGGATCATAAACTTCAGTTTTTTGGAAATATTTCTAGACGCTTAAGGTTATTAAGAGATCTAATATGTGATATAATTAGAATACTTTGCTACTTAAATTAACATATACTTAGAATTTTTATATCTTCTTTGGTTTGAGAACTATAGCAAAAATTAAAGTTAATCTACTAGATTTGGATAGAAAATTGAATAATTAATACTTCTTAACAAATAGCGAAAGTTTAAAGTATACAGAAATTTCAGGCATAGTTCACTCTTTTATAATCCAAAATTAGAAATACCACACCTCCCATAAAGTTTGAGATATTTACAAAAAACTGAAGCAGATAATCCGAAATCGAGGATAATCCACTTTAGTGAAACAGACCGAAAAAGATCAATGGTATTGGGGGTATACAAAAATACACCGACTTTATTTACAATGAAAAAATAATGTAAAGAGGAGATTTGAACTTATTTTTAGAGAAAAATGTAAAAAAAAACTTTTACAATCTATAATTCATAACTCATAATAAGTTAAGATAAAGTTACTATCATAAAACATAACCTAAAATGAAAATTTCTTCTTCTTTTTATTATATCTTACATCTTTTGCTCCTTTTACTCTCTAGATCGTTATTATAATATACTACATAACTATATAAATGCTCAGTTTTTGCAATAAATGTGCAGTTTTGTTCTCGGTAAGGATTGATGGAATTTTATCTTTAGATTATCACTTTTATGAATTCTTTGAGGATCTTTGAAGGAATTTTGCTTCTTGAAATGAGTTTTGCCACTCTGTAGATTAGAAATATAAACATATTGAAGGACTTTAAGCTTTAAATCTTTTTTAAATCGCAAAAAACTTCTTGAAGTGACGAATTTTTTCAGAAGTTAAATCAATCAAAAATTTGAATTCTCAAAAATCGTTAAAATTCATAAAAGCAAAAACTTTAAAACTACAGAGCAAAAATTTAAAGCAAAAACTGCGCTAAACTTTAGCTTTTCCGACTTTTTCGAAACTTTTATTAATGTTTGTTCTTTCCGCTTTTAGCGCTTTTTAAAATTTTCATTCTTCCTCTTCCGACTTTTAGTTTTTTAAGTCATTGTTGTGAGATTCTGTGATATTAAAGAAAATTTTTATATTGTTAAATTACATCGTAAAAATGTGAATAAATAAGAAGAAAATAAATGTCAAAGTTTGGAGTAATATGTAAATCCTTGAACATTTTGAATCTGGTTGTCTGTAAGAAAATGACATAAACGAAACCAAAATTTATTGGAAAAAGTCTTTGTAAATATTTGTCTTTTGTGATGAAGAAATATTTTCATTTTGTTGTGAATGTAAATTCTTAATTTTTATGTTTCTCATTTCGGAGATGTTGAGTAAGTGAATGAAATAAATGAAGGAACTAAACTGTTGGTTATTGCTCATGAAAATTCACTTTCTGGGATGACTATTTAAACACAGACAATGCATGATAGAGTTTTTTGATAATAAAGAAGTATTGAACATAAAATCTAGAGATTGATGAATGCTGAAAGAAAACATAACCTACATTAAGGATTGTGGTATTGAACTGAGTTATTGGAATGGAATTTTGAGAATTGAAATCTTTGAGACAGTTTTCTTTCTGATTTAAATGTGATAACAATGTTTAAGCATGTTAACAGTTGTATGGATTTGAGACCAATGATATTATTAGAAATATCTCCAAAGATTAACAATAGACATGCTCAACATCTCACATAACCAACAAGAAGCCTCACCGCAATTCTTTATGTTCAACATAAATCCATTCCATCCATTAAATAACCTGTCATCCACTAAATCCTCTTGAATGAATGTCCTGAAATGAATGTTGTAAATTTTTGTCTGTTCTGTAAATCTCATTTTCATTGTCTTATCTCATTTTTCATTCAATTTATGTTGATAATTTGTAGGTCAAGAAAAAGTCATTGTCATAATCAAGAACAAGATATATAAATAAATTGAAACAGATAAGAAAATGAGATATAATTAGTTTTAAAAGTAAATAAATGAGAATTTAAATGAAAAAAAGGAAAGAAATCCATTAAATAAAAATTATTCAAATGAAACAAATTCGTCTTAATGCTCTATAAATATATTTTCACATCTTTTTACAGCATTTTTCCTCATTTCCACTTTCATTACAGGAGTCATTTGGTGTGATGAAAGCCACATGCGGTTGCTAAAGAAGCTATTAAATGTTCATTAACTGAAAATAAATTTTTCAAGAACATACAAACAACTTTCACAATTAAGATAAGCTTTGCCATGGCCTTAGACTTTTTCTTCTGAGTCTAATGCCGTTTAATGTTTTTTTTTTCGAAAATAAATTGGGTAAGAAGGTAAGAATTTTGGGCGAAGTTAAAGAACTTTTGTTGTTGTTCGAAGCGCACTTACCAAGTAAGCCACCCCCATAGCAACCAGACGAAACACGAGCTCAAGTTCCTTCACTTTTACAAGACATAGACATAAAAAGAAGTCGAGCATTGAATGCTAATTGCAAGTAAGCGACACGTGAAAGTGAAAATAATTTCTATTATTAAAACTTATTATTAAGTGAGTGGAAAAGAAAATAAACTCATTTAGCATGTCAGTGTCTAGCTTGAAGGGAGAAATATA